CTCCCCCTGCCTGTTTTGGGATGTGTGCATTTCTCAGCCTGTGACAAGAAGTGTAGCCATCCATTTCCAATGAAAAGGTCAGCTGTCTCTTAGCATCTGCTTTCCACTGATGTTTTTTCCTCTTTCCAGAGAGTTAATTCTCCTCTAGTAACCCTCTCTAAAAGCTTAAAGCCTCCCTTGATTCTCATCACGACCCAGAAGGCATTTCTCCTCCTCACAAGTCCTTTCTTCCTCAAAGCCCGTTTGGCTTGCGACTTCTCTCATGGTCCTTCTGGCCTCAGTTTCCAGTTGTCCTCTTCCCTCAGCCAGCTTTCATTGTCTTGGTTAAAACAAGGGAGATCTGCCGACCGCACTTGACCTCTTGCCACAGTGGCAAGGTTCCAGCTTTTAAGGATAATGAGATTCCCAAATGTAAACAAGAAAACTGCAAAGTTTTTTTTCTTTTAGCTTCTTATTTGGGCTGATCTGAGCAATGCAGTTTGCTACTTGGACTAATGGTGTGAGCTTTATTGACATGTGGTAGAAAAGAAAGCATCTTGTTGAGGGCAGCAATACATTTTTCCTCTAAATTTTAGAAGGATGGAGGAGAGGAAGGTTTCCCACTGAGTTCCCCTGGCTACCTCTCGTTCTTTTCCTGTCTATCTTTGAACAAGAAACAAGACGCTTTTAGTTTTGATCTGGGAACTGTTTTCTTTTGTTCCTACTTCCTATTAGAGACTTTGAGGGATAGAGGCAAGTGGTACAAGAGATTGTCTTGGACCCCTGAAGTAGAGGAATTATCTTCTCCCACTCCTTAGAACTGTAAAGATCTTGGTGACCTGACTCATTCCCTATTGACATGCTGAGACTGCACTGACTCTAAAAAATTTGTTCCTTCTAGCTCATTGATCCCAATTCCCTTCACAGATGTTAGACAGAAATGAGAACAGCCTGCCTGGGGAGGGGGGTTTCTGTCAGCATTTGTCATCTACCAGGGAATAGCTGCCCTGGAGACAGGTTGAAACCAGGCCTCTGCAAACATGAATCAGCATCCAGGTTTTGTATCCAGCCCCACAAAGGGACCCCAGAACCTGATAATCCTCCTCCAGTATATGGAGTTTGGTGGTGTAGCTTCATAAGGTGTCACTTTTGTCAGAGAGGGGGAGGCATTTTTGGCAGGTCCCCGGCTTTGTCCTTAACATCTGACAGGGAGCTTCTGGGCACCTGACTAGCGTTAAGGAAGGTTTTACTGGAGATATATTTGGAGTGCCTTAAAATAAAGACCAGAGCTTCCTTTACTGTCTCGGATCTTCGTTCTTGTCAGTGCTGATGAACTTTGGGTTTATGGAGCCAGCCCCCATTGAAATCTGGGAGGAGGCTCACAGATCACCCAGTCACTGGGTTGGAAAGACTGATGGCTGAAACCATAAATGGTTTGGGAGTAGCCAGAGCTATAGCCATCTGTCAGCATTGGGGAACTTGTTGCCCAGTATTGTCTTGTCTCTAGGGCTAATTGTGAGGAGTAGTTCCTGTCCCTGAGGTACTTTCAGAGCTGTTAAACTGCGGCCAGAGAAAGGAATGGAAACTATACCTCTGGGTGGTTTTCCAAATGGGCCAGATTCTCATTCCCTTAGGGTCCTTTCATTCCAGGCATGTGTGAAATAGGAACATTGGATCAGATGACCTCTCAGAACCTGTAAATCAGTGATCCTACCCATCCTGCATCCTCTGTGTCATCTCCTTGTCATCTCCTTCCTTCTCACCCCCACATTAGAGTGTGATAAGTAAGCAAGTGCTTATCAGGAATTCTGGAGGCTACTGATCTTCACGTGGCATTTTCTGGCTTCCTGCCACAAAGCAGGATTTAGCCTAATACCCAAACACTGGAGAAGATGGGCTCTTGGGAGCTGCCCTTTCAACACTGTTTGAGGACTTGGGCAGGGTGGGGAGCTGCCAGAGTCGGAGGACAAATCGATACCCCATGACTCCTATAGCCATGGAGGTTGTGAATATCTGTGCAGCAAGGTCTAGGGGTCTCAGCCTTTAATTACTTCTCTCCAGTTGCTCTGACCTTGTCTCACCTAAGCTGGGTCACCCATCATACTGGCTTCTTGATGGTTTTGTCCCCAGAGCAAATTCCTGTACTTAGAAGCAAATTGATAGTATTTGCTTGTTAATCCCTCTGCAGCAACAGACTATAAAAGGTAAATTTGTGACGTGTGAGAGGCTTTGTTTGCTTCTTTCCTGGTCTGGAACATTTCTAGAAAAGAATCCTTATTCTTGTGAGACCGCAGTCAAAACACTCAGCGCAACCTCAAAGCATTTGATTTACTAACTGCATTGTCTCCCTTCTTGCAAGACCACTATCTCTGGCCCTTCTGGCCCATTGCCTGCAATAATGAATCATTATGATTTTAGGGGAGACTCTTGTGAATCCCATTAGAACTGCCATAGGCAAAAAATAAGGCTCCCCTCATCCAACCCACTGAAATTAAAGCACATCCCTTCTGAACTCTGGGTGTGTCCCCAACTTATATTATCTGACCTTTGGGAGAAGAAAAATTTAACAGATTAAGTGATCCCAGCCACAGTTGTCTGATCACAGCCACTTTGTCCTTTTGATTTGTATATCAAGTCATATTTAACCATATAGCCGATAGGTTGGACAGAAACCATTGATTATCTTCTGGAAAAGTGAAAACCTCTGTGAGAAAGGATGAAGGCCCCACACCCATCCCCTGACCCGAAGGAAAAGAGTTGATTAGGTGCAAAGGGGAAAAGACTGGCATTGCCATCTCTGTGGACAGTCAGCCAGTAGTGAGGCCGATGGAGAGGAGTAGCCATGAATTCATTCCAGGCTCCTGCCAGGTATGTACGTGTAAGGAAGGGATTATCCAAAGGTCAGGCAAGCATGTTCTGGATGACTAGTTTAGAAATTCATAAACTTCATTGGGCTCTTTTTCAGTAGTCTCCTCAGGCCAAAGATTTAAGGATCCCCGGTTAATTCTTAAATTTGGAGTTGAGTCATATGGGGAGGACATAGGAGGTAGGAGGTTCTTAAGGCAGCAGCAGCAGCCATGGGGCAGTCTGTCTTATGCCTCAAACCAGAGCCAGTTCCATATTTGTAACAGACCCATTCGACCTCAGGACCATAACAGGGCTGTTCCAGCAGTGTGCTATAAGCTGCCCAGGCACATTTCTCAGCACCACAAAGCTGGGGAATTTTTATAACAGGATTCTCTGTGTGTGTGTCATTACATCGAGCACACGTGCCGCTGTCTTCTCTAGTCCAGAGGCTGTCCTGGTAAAGGCCTTTCAGATAGCTACCCAAGGCACATGAACAAGTTCCCAAATGCAGGACTTCTTATCACTTGATTTCTGTAAATGGCGTGGACCCTTAGCTCAGTATTTACCTTTTTGGGGGAGCAGGGTCTCTCATCAGGATAATCAGAAAAATAATTATTATTATACTGACCTAAATTCATTTTTTAATATTACTTTCTAAATCACGCTCTCATTTGTTCTCTCATTTTTTTCCCTTCCATCAACCCTTAGGGACAGGTAAAGACAGATGAAGTTCATCCTTATTTTATAAAAACCTGAAGAGGCTAAAAGAGAAAACATTGTATTGACTAAAACTCCAGTTTATAGATTCTCAGCCTCACGTCCTTTTCATAGGGCCTGATGATGTGTTTTTCTTGTTTTTTTTTAAGCCCCAGATGCAAGTTCATGGTAATAATAACAAGAGTTACCATTTATGAGCTTGCACCACATCAGGCATTTTATATACATCATTTCTTTTAATCTCCCCTGTTATTTGAGTGTTCGTGCTATCTCTTTTTGTGTGTGTGTGTGTGTGTGTGTGTGTGTGTGTGTGGTACACGGGCCTCTCACTGTTGCGGCCTCTCCTGTTGTGGAGCACAGGCTCCGGACGCGCAGGCTCAGTGGCCATAGCTCACGGGCCCAGCTGCTCCGCGGCATGTGGGATCTTCCCGGACCGGGGCACGAACCTATGTCCCCTGCATTGGCCGGCGGACTCCCAACCACTGTGCCACCAGGGAAGCCTGGTGCTGTCTCTTTTTAAACTGAGATCCAGAGAAGTTGTTATGCAGTGACGCCAGGACTCAGACCCAGATCTTTCTGACTCTTAAATTATGCCCTTCATTCTTCCACTGCCCTGCACCTGTCTCTGACTAAAGTCGATTCTGGAACATTGTGTAGATCAGTAGCCAGATATCACCTTCAGCCCAACCTGAGACAAGCTAAGCTGCCCCCTGAGAAAATAGTAGCTTTGGAAAGATGTAGACTAATGAAAGGAGACTCCCTTTGAAAAATGGAACTGATCTGTTTAATGGTGATTTATATAAGCTAGAAAGAAATCATATATGTGTGTGTTCAAGATTCCCATCTGCCCTGCTTCCTACATCTTATTGCACCTTTTAGGTTTCCTTAACAATAGCAGTTTTAACATTGCTTTTAATTAGATGAATTAAGAATGTTCTTTGATGTTATCACCCCCTCCCGCCCCCCTATCACCTTCAGTTCCCCATTGCAGTGAAGAGTGCTGTGATTTCCATGGTAACAGGACTACCAGTGGAGGTTGGCTCTCACTGGTTGGTCTGGTCAGAGGAAAGTTTGGGGCAGTCCTTCCTGGTGTGCTAGGCTCTGCATGGGGCTTTCCAGGGGGTTACCTTAAAAGTGATGAAGTGAGAAATGTTAAAGGCTGTGAGGAGAGCATAGTGAAGCTTCATGCAGAAGGGTCCAAGTATGCCCCTGGTATTTCCTGACAGTCCTTAGCCCTCACCTGAAGTAAGAGGGTCCCACCCTCCCCTGTGCTTCCCCAAGTTCTCAGATATATGTTAAGAGTCATCCCATTCCCAGTCCAACCATCTCTTTTCTTCCCTGTGGTTAACTTGCTTCAGGCTATAGGAGGGACTTTGTTCCCCTTGGATTTTGTTATTCTTGGTAACAGACTGTTTCTCCTCCCATTCTCTTTTCTTCCCTCTTTTTTCCTCACCCAGAGAGTTTTCAACGTCCTTTATCCCATGCCTGCTGACCAGCGGAGACATGTCAGCATCAATTCTGCCCGGTGGCTGCCCGAGCCAGGGCTCGGCCTGGCCTATGGTACCAACAAAGGAGACCTGGTGATCTGCCGACCAGAGTGAGTGGCTCAAGGGGCTGGCGGGGTGGGGCCTCAGGGGGTCATCCAGGCTGAGGACTGGAGTCATCAGCATTCACCTGTGGATCTGGCCAGTGAGGTGGGGTCTTTTTTTTTTTGAATTTTATTAATTTTTTTATACAGCAGGCTCTTATTAGTTATCCATTTTATACGTATTAGTGTATATATGTCAGTCCCAATGTCCCAATTCATCACACCACCACCACCACCACCCCCGCTGAGGTGGGGTCTTCTAGATGGGAAATTCGAATTCTGCTAGAGCCTGACTCGTTCTCGGCGTCACTCCTCAAAGTGTCCTTTTCACCTAGGGGATGGTAAGGTTAGCTCTCCATTCCAAAAATCTTCAAAAAACTGGTATAGTTATTAGGTGTTTTTAAATCTAAGGCAGTATTTTTTTTTCTTTGTTTTCCCTCGTTCTCTGGTTTCCTAGTGATAGTAAAGTTTCCCTGCAGGCAAAAGCATAGATATCAAAGATTCTTTTCTAAACCCTTTTTGAAAAATTCAACAGGTGGTCTCAGGTTTGTGTAAATGCCATAGACATTAACTTAAGAAACAAAATTGGAAATAGAATATTGTTAAAGCCCTAATTTGTCAAGCTATGGATCTCTGACAGCCTGGCTCTGTCTGTGTCCTGCCTGTTTTCCTTTCTGCTTGGGGTTCTGGCTCATAATAGTGAAGGCAGATTGAAAAGCTTAGTTTAGAATAAAAATGATAATTAACTGGTCTTGATTGAAGTAGGGGGTAGGAGGCGACAGGGAACCAAAGCATCTCTGTCTTAAGTCCTGATGACACCCGCTTCTCCCCTTCCTCTGGCTTTTTGGAGGAGAGAGGTCTGTTCAGGCATCCTTTCACTCAAGACCCTGGGAATCAGCCAGGTCTGTCATCAATTTCCAGACCCAGCCAGGTGGGGAGAGTGAAACTCTGTACTTCAATGCAGATCAGGCTGATTGCTGCGTGGGCTACTGCGGGGTTCCAGCCGACTAAATGCCACTTCTGCCTCCAGGCCGTCCTAATGTTGTCCTTCACTTGGTGCAGAGTCTTCTCCAAGGGTAGCCTGCAGATCACAGAGCACGCACGGTGTGGCTGGTCTGGTAGGGTCTCTGGCTGCTGGGAGTGTCCATGTTGCCTTTTGATAGGGCCCTTGGTGATTTTTCCTAAAGTGTGTATTTGGGTCAGTTCTTGTGGCCTGGTAGGTGACTGGTGATTGAGCCTTTGTCAGCTGAGCTAGGTCGGTGGCCCAGGAGAAAGAAAACCTGGTTCTGATGACAGCTCTTTTATTCCACCTAGAATTTTCGGAGCCCCTTCCAAAGGGAAGCTGCTGTCTCAGCCTGACCTAGTCAAGCTGCTCTTAGAGCTGGGAGACTGCTTGATTCTGCCAGCTACACTCTCTTCAGACTCAGTGTCCACAGAGCCCCTTTCACTAGCTCCTGGTGCCTCTCCAGAACACAGCCTGCCTCTTTCACGACTGTGCCACTGTTAACCCAGGTGCTTTATCTGTCCGTTTCTGCCCTCCCCCCAGCCTGTCCGTAGTCTCAGGATCAGTCTTCCCTGAACGATTTCTTTTTCCCCAAAGCACATTATCTTACCTCTTCCTCTTTTCTTAGAAATTCATAAGAGGACTCTAATAGGCATCTTTCCCAAAACTGGAAAAGAATTCTGGATTATAATTTCACTCTTACCAACACTGTAGTTACAGGCCTTTCTTCTCCTGTTTCTCCAAGACAGCCTTCCTTAGCATTGTTGTCTTGTCCCTGGCTCCAGCTACTAACCTTTGTCCCAACCAGACTCCCAGCCCCTTCTCTTGCAAAAGCGATCTGCTCTTACAGAGGCAGTGTCTCTGCTCCCAATTTGTCATGGCCCCACAAGGCTTTTATGTCTACAACCCCAGCCTACATACTTGGTGTGAGTCACAGACATCTCAGCCAGACATGAAGCTGGCTTTGGCCTCTCTTTTCTCCCCATATGTCATCTTCAGCATCCACCGTCTCAGCAAGCTGGAGCCGTCTTGAGCTGCCTGGGGAGTTCTCTTACCCACCAGCAACTCAAGTCTCTTCCATGACAAGATAGCACTAATGGGCTTCCCTGGTGGCGCAGTGGTTGAGAGTCCGCCTGCCGATGCAGGGGACACGGGTTCGTGCCCCGGTCTGGGAAGATCCCACATGCCGCGGAGCGGCTGGGCCCGTGAGCCATGACTGCTGAGCCTGCGCGTCCGGAGCCTGTGCTCCGCAACGAGAGAGAGGCCACAACAGTGAGAGGCCCACGTACCACAAAAAAAAAAAAAAAGAAAAGAAAAAAGATAGCACTAATGTTTGACACAGTGAACAGCACCGCATCACAGACCAAGTTGTGTTGGACTCAGAGCTAGTTGAGCCTGCCTTTTTGGTGTTGCTGTTTCTTCTGATTTCTTGGGTCATGTGGGTAAATGCCCCATACCTTAGAGCCAGTGTTTAAGGGTACCATATAAAATTAAGATGGACATGACTTTGTCCCAAGTTGTCCAAAGCTTCTCCAGTTCTCAGTCACCTTCATTTCTGTACTTTAGGCAGGAAATACTATGAAAAATATTCAGGTAAGTAAGTTTAGACTCACCCGAGGTCTCCCAGCAGATCAGTGACAAAGTGAGCCTTCCCAGTTTTCCGATCCAGAGCTCTTTCCTGTAGCTGATTCTTAATGTTTTTTCAATCAAAAACCCCTTTAGAATTCCGACGAAAGCAACATACTCTCTTCCACAGAAGAATATACCACAAGAACACACAATTTTGTAACTCTTTTAAGACCTCAGGTGAAGAATGTAGCTCTAGATCATGTTGAGGCATTTAAGTGGGTCAGGTGATTGATGCAGTGGGAAATGAGAGAGGATAAGTGAGAACATGTACATCTTTTTTAACAGTCTCTGAGTGATCTCCGGCTTCGAACGAGGAGAACGAATAAATAGGGAAGTAGAAGCTCAGGGTTGTTGCCTGCTGCCTGGCCCCGTCTGATGCAGCTCCCTGGCACACCCATTCCCAAGGGCACATGAGCCAGCCAGCCAGCCAGCTGGGCCAAGATTACAGCCCTCCCTCCAAAACAGGTGGTTGTCTGCCTTTGTCTCAGGCACAGGCAGCTTTACCACATTTTGTGCTTTCAATCCTGTTCTTGATTTTTCCTCCATTGTCTTAGCCTTGGCACTCTCTCCAAGCACAGAGACATAGGTAACAAGCTCCTTGGGCATCTCTTGAAGGTATTAAAACCCCACTTGACAGTAGAAAAAAGCCTAAGGAAACACTCCATCTCTCCAGGCACAGAAATTCTTAAGACAGGTGAGGAGATGGACCACTGGCCCTTCCACCCATATACAGAGCCATTTCAGTGGCTGATAGCCTGGTGTCCACCCCGCTCCCAGCAGTGAGATGCTCCTTTCTCCTTTGCTTTGCTCTCTGACCCGCCACCCCTCCCAAGCTGCTCCTGTGCCTCTGGCTGTCCGCCAGCCCAGCCAGCCCCCCCCCACCAGTAACCAGGGTGGGTATGAAGTGCCAGATTGATGTGAGGGGCTGCTTGCTCACTTCGTCTCATAGATCAGCCCTACAAACGGCGGGGTGGGGAGGTGCTGGGAAGACCTCTGAGAGTCAGCTCAGAAGACAGAATTCAGAGACTCATGTCAGAAGAAAAGTAGGCTGGGGGGAATTCCCTGGTGGTCCAGAAGTTAGGACTCAGTGCTTTCACTGCCGAGGAGGGCAGTTCTGTGTGAGAGCGTTTTCACCACCGAGGAAGCCAGGCTGGCTCTTAGCTGTGTTCAGGGAGCCCCAAGGGTCCCAGCTGTAAGGAGTCACTGAACCAAGCCCAGAAGCACAGCTCACAGAGGCTGTTGAAGGAAGCCAGGAAGGCTGACCCTGACTGGCCTTCTTATTCTTCTTCACCCCTCTGTGTGTTTGTCTGGCTTCCAGGAGGAACCTAGAGCAAACAGTGGTGACTCATTCATCCTCCCTAAGGTCCAAGGAGGAAGGAGAGGGTTGGGACTGTTCTTTAGCTTACAGATGGAAATAAGCAACACTGAATATTGAACACTTAGAGTTTCATTAGCCAGAGAGGGTATCTTCAACTCTGTTCCTTGGTACAGTGCCTGGAATTTCAACCAAATCCATGAGCTTGTCGTAGTCAAGCTGGTCTGACCATAGAAGGTAGAACAAATCATGGCTGGAATTGGACCTCTTGGTGGGGAGTAGAGAGGATTGGGGTCGGGGGGGAGAATGGAATAGGATGTTGATAGCCTCCATCACTCCTGTTCTGTTTGGCAGTTGATATCCTCGGTAAATGGCCAGAGTTCATAGCCTGGAGCTGATGGCGCATGCTGCCAGATGGAAAGTGTTGGAGGGACTCTTTGACCATCAGCATCATGCTGGCAGTCGCAGCTCAGAGAGTGTGCCTTCAGGTGGCCTTTTCTCTGAGATGGGAAGGAAGGTGCCTGGTCACGCAATACATGGTTTGGTATAGGTTTGGTGTGAGCAGTTTGTTGTCACTAACCAGCCCTGGGTAGCAGGAATTACAGACAAAGGATTTGGCGGGGACCCATGTGGTATTGCCACCTGTCAATAAATCTTGACAAGTTTGTAAATCAGAGACTCCCTGGCAGCTGGCTTCATGTGGTGCCTCATGCAGCCAAGATTTGCTCATCAAAAATTGCAGTGGTGGCTTTGTTTTCTGGGGACCTCTGCTTTTGTTTCTGGTCATTTGCCTCTTCCCTCACGTAAGGTCTTCTCTCACCTCTGCTCTCCAATGCCCTGTTGTTCTCAGACAGCCCTCACAAAAATAGCTGAGTATCTGGTGACTCAGCTTCCTGTGGTCTCGAGGAGAAACAGCAGCTCGCTGAGATCCAGGAAACATGGCCCGCCACCTCCTGTGCGGCTGTGGGAGTGGCAGAGATTTGGGTTGAGGTGTCCCGGCTCAGGGTGCTGACCTCAGTCCTGGCCCCCGGGCTGACCGCAGGTGTTGTTACCCTGAACTTTAATTCTTTATTGATGTTCTTTCAGAGGGCTCGTCTGAAGATCACACCAAATCTGCCCTCTAAGAGGAGCTGGGAGGGGTTTAGTCCAGAACAGGGAGAGGAAGAGTACTTTTGTTTGGCTGTGGCTCTTTCCCACAGGTAAAGCCTAATCCCCAGAATCTTAGTGCCCCTCTAGTGATGGATTTGGGGTCCCAGTGCCTAGGCCCGTTTCCTTTCACCTGAGGTAGCACAGCCTCCTGACATGCAGTCGCTCACCGTGCAGGCCCCATCAGGCCCCTGCCCTATCCAATCCTCATATTTAGGAAGGAATCACCTTACGTCACCCCCCCACAACTCATCTTTTCCTGGCTGATCCTCACAACCCACTGACTTTCATTTGTTTGCTCTTTATTGAAGAAGTTCTGTCGTTAAAGGAAGGTGACCTCAGCCTCTAGGTTAAAAAGCTGGCTTCCGTTGGAGCTTTTCTTAGTCAGCTCAAGACGGGGTGGCTTAATCACCAGAAATTTATTTTCTACCATCTGGAAGCTAGAAGTCTGAGATCAGGTGCTGGCATGGTTGAGTTCTGGTGAGGACTCCTTTCCTGGCTTGCAGACAGCCACCTTCTCACTGTGTCCTCACATGATGGAGAAAGAGAATAAGATCTCTCTCTCTCCTTATAAGGCCAGAGTCCTTTTGGGTTAGGGTCCCAGTCTTATGACTTCATTTAACCTTAATTACCTTCTAAAGACCCTATCTCCAGATACAGTCACTTTGGGGGTAGGGTTTCAACATGTGAATTTGTGGGGGATTCAGTCTATAGCAGAGCTCTTCAAGCACATGTGCATGCCCTGTCCCTCTTAGGAGCAGAGCTAGCTTTTTTGAGTATCTCCTACAATCTCTACATAGACACTGGAGTTCTCATCAAAGGGCTCAAAGACAGCTCTTTCCCAACTCTTATCCCTCTTCCTTCACCACCGTCAGCAGCACCCCACCCTCAACCATGTGATTGGTGCTAGGTAGCTGTCTTGCATTTTGGGACCCACCACTGGCAGCCAGGCTTGCTGCCTGAGGTGGCACATCAGTATAGAAAGATAAGAGGCCACTGCTTCCCTTCTGGCAGTTTTGCCTGCGTGAGGTTGGAAGAAACTGCTTGATACTCCACTGCAGGGAAAGAAGGAACCAGGAGAAGGTTGGCAGCCCAGAGAACTTGATGGATAGAAGCTCTTCTCTGTGCTGTCAGCAGTCCAGCCCATCGCTGCTGCAGTTTTTCTCCTCCCTCCCCCAGGAGAAGTTTGTGAGCCCTCCCGGGTCATCTTCTGCTCTCCCAGTTGCTTGTCCAGCCTCTACGTGGCAAAGGAGCCTCTAGGGCCAGAATAGAAAGAGATGTGGGCCTCTCTGGCTCAGCGGGAGCTTTTTCCTGCTTAGACTTCTGAGCTCCAGGCAAAGTAAAAATGTCAAGGTGCCCTCATTTTCCTTTCTCCTGACGCCGTGGCTGTAGGGAAGACCCAGTGGTGAGACCCTGCACCCTCTGTTTCTGAGCACTAAGCACGCCCTTTAGACAGGGCTGTCCGTGGCACCTGGTGTCTCCAGGGCCATCTTAGCTCCTTTCTCATATGTCTGACGTACATGCAGAACTCACTGCCTGACTGGCATGGCTATTTTTTAGCTCTTCCTTAGCCCCAAAGAGGAGCCAGTTAGGCTCTGGGGGATGGAAGAGGCTAAAGCCACCACTCCAGGCTTTGGGGCTGTTGGAGATTTGTCTGGTCTGCTCTACACTGAGCATCCTGATGCAGGAATATCTTTGGTCCTGGCCTCAGCCCAGCCCCAGGAGAGGAAGGAGGGAATTGCAAGGAGTTCTGGCCGTTCCGTATCTAATGCCTTCCACCTTTTCTCCTTCCCAACTGATTTTCAGGGCCTTAAACTCTGGTGTTGAGTACTACTGGGACCAGCTGAATGAGACTGTCTTCACTGTTCACTCCAGCAGCCGAAGCAGTGAGAGGCCTGGGTGAGTTTGTGAAAGAGGAGGCCCGCCCTCCCTTCTGCAACCAGTGGGCTCTGGAGCAGTGCCCTCAGACTGTGTTCCAGGGCTCTGTAGCTGCCCATCCTCAACCAGAGCAGCTCCTCTTTGATCTGCTTCATGCATTGAGCTTTTGCATGTGATTTTTTTCGAGAAGAGTGTTTCATGGCTTAGAAAGAGAACAGAACCTCTGCCCTCAGAGCCTTGATTTAAGACAGGCTAGGACACCGTCTAGCCCTCTCATTCTGGCATGGTATCTGGGCGAGCTGCGGTGAGGAGAGAGGAGTGGACACTGGAGAGGGATGCCCTCCCTAGGAAATTGCTTGTGGGCAGTCTCCCACATGACCCAGGCCTCAGGGTCCAAGCTGCCCAGAGCTGCAGCCCTGGGACAGACCCTCCCCAGGAGCAAGTGAGAGAGTAGGAACCTGGTACTGATCCTCTCATCACTTAATTCATTAATGAAGACTGGAACATTTTGAGAAAAAGTCCTGGGTCAATGATAAAGCCAAAGCAATCACTGCTTCCTAGAGGGAGTACAGGGCACAGCCGGAGGAGTAATCCCCAGAAGCAGCTACAAATAGGAGTGGCTGGTGACTGTCTTGAAAGTCCTGGGCTCCCTCTGCTGCCAGCTTGAGCTGTCCTGAGGGTCAGTGCCTAGGAAATGCCCAAGGAAGGGGGCGTATAGCTTGGGGCCTGGGCCTTACTCATTGGCAGCTGGCGCTCCCTGCTTTTAAGGGTCTATTTTCAGAAGGCCCCAAAAGAGGATCCCAGAGCAGCCTCACAGGAGTCCTGGTGCTTTTCCTCCAAAGTGGACATTCAGTGGAAGTTCCAAGAATTTAAACTGGAATCTTGTCAGCATATAGTTAGAAGGAAGGAAAAGCTAAAGAGAGAAAGGGCCCTCTTGGGCTGCTCACCCTTTTTCCCGTGGAGCTCAGCTAGTGGCTTCCCGAATCTAAGGAAGCGTCTTTTAAGATCAGCCATCTCTACCTCCCCAGAAAGGCCCTCGTTGTTTGAGTGACTGGACCAGCTGGGTTTGCAAAACTGGACGGTTCTGCGCCTCCTTTCATTGTCCCGGGGTGTGGACTGATCTGGAGGAGAAAGGACACAGGCGAGTTCACCGCCATCGGGAGGCAGCCGCGGGAGCGGGCCTCTCAGCCTGCAGGCCCTGGTCCAGGCTGTGCCCTGGGGATTGGCATGGAGCACGCGGAGCTGTGTGTGGTGTGCTGTCCCCAGCCCTGCCCGACTCCGCTCTGCCTTTCTCTCCATAGCACCAGCAGAGCCACGTGGAGGACAGACAGAGACATGGGCCTCATGAATGCAATTGGGCTGCAGCCCCGGAACCCCACCACCTCAGTGACATCTCAGGGCACCCAGACCCTGGCCCTTCAGCTGCAGAATGCCGAAACACAGACAGAGAGGGAGATCCAGGAGCCGGGGACAGCAGCTTCAGGTCCTGGTGAAGGTAGGAGCCATGTAACACTAGAGGGGAAATGAGGCCGGGAGAGTGGCGTGGGGTGGGGGCTGGGACCATTCTCACCCCTCCCTGAGGCTCCCGGCCCCTCCACACGGACAGCTGGTGCAGGGCGAGCACCACTGCTGTCAGGGTGAGTGCCCCTCACGTGGTGGTGCCTTCTCGGGCAGGAAGGTCATTCCCCTGATCTGGGTCACTGCTCTGGCAAGCCGAGCTGCTCTCACAGTTTTGCTCAGTCCCACCAAGGACCCTGATCTCCTTATCCTCTAAAACTTGGAGGACCCAGGGTGTTCTTCCGGAGAGAGAGCACAGAGAATCATCTAGATAGAGAAGGCTCCCTGCTGTGAGCTCTCGTTCCAGAGACACGCACCCCAGGCCTCGGGCTTCCCGGACCACCCCACAGGGTAGCTTGTCTCCCCCTGCCGCCAGCCTGGCGGAGTCGGGACTGCCACAGGTGAGGCCCTCACACACCCGTGCTTCATGGCCATTTTGACTGCAGCCTGGCACGCAGTCAGCCCCTTCCTCTCACCTATTGCAGGTGTGGCTCAGCCAGCTCCGCCCTGGCTCTGCGCTGGCGTCACACTGCTAAGAACCAATTAGCACTTCCCAGCGGTAGCGCTCGAGCCCCTTTGGAGTGTGTTGGCAGCTGTGTTAAATAGGCTGTTCTCGCTCAGTCACTGTCCTTACCCCCTACCCCAGCCCCTGGCTGCTCCAGGCTCCAGACAAGGCAGCCTCCAAACAGACCCACATTTCCTAGGTCCGTGTTAAGCCATTTGCTCAAGAGAGACCATGAGAAGAGAGGACAGGTGTGCATCGGGCAAGGAGTAACTAATCTGCCTGTGTCACCTCCAGGGAACAGCTTTCCAAACTGCAGCCCCCCAGCAGGGCACTGTCCCTGTCGCTGCCATTAACTGACACTTTTTACAGTTAAGTCCCTTCTTGGTCTGTGGCCCAGGCCACCTCCTACATCTGTTGGGTGGAAGCCCCTTGGTGTAGAGGTAGCGGCTGCAGCAGCCCAACACAGCTCCGAGCCTCACTGAAGAGGAGAGAGCTGGAGCTCCTCCAGCCAGCCCCAGGTGGAAGTCCTTGTCTGAGGCGGCCCCCCTACCACGATCTCGTGGCCGTTTACTGACTGTCTCCCATGCATCAGCCGCTGGGGTTGCAAAGACAGATAGGCCTTGGTCCTTCCCCAAGGAACTGGACATCTAGACAGGGAGGCAGGCCCCCAGCAGGTAATTGCTTCACACGATAAGGACCTCGGGGCCACGGAGGAGGGGGGCCCACCTCCCAACTGTGGGGCTTGGGGAAGGCTTCTGGAGGAGGTGACCCTGAGCTGAGTCTTCAAGGATAAGTAGGAAAATGTCAGGCCAAGTGGGATGGGGGCAGGGGGCAGGCATTCCTGGCAGAGGGGACAGCAGCTGCAAGGGCACCAAGTTCAAAAACATTACCGTCTGCGCCGAGGACCACTCACTAGTGGGCTCTTGTTCCTGGCCTGTCATCGCGTGTTGAGACGGAGGCTGGATGAGCAGGAAGGGCAGATTACAGGGATCTGGGTCAGAAGTGAGGCCTTCAGCCTGAAAGTGAAGTGCAGCAGGGGCTCCCCACTTGAGGAGAAGAGCATCCACCGGTGTTTTCACCTCCCAAAGAAGCCTCTGATATTTCCTGATTAGCATCAGCTTATTCCTGGCCTCCAGTCAATTATAAGTTCCTTTCTTCCTGTTTCGGGATGCAGATGATGGGCTGGCCGGAGGAAGGAGGTTCTGTTTTCCAGTTTGAGACCAGAACCTGATTCACTCCCAGTCTCTCCCTGCAAAGTAGAACGGGTGGTGGAGGGTGAGCCCTTCAGAGGCCAGAGGCACTCTTCAGCAGAGGCAGCAGTTGAATAGGCTGTTCTCTAGAACGGGAGCCTTGGCAGGGTGGTTCAGGATGGCTCGCTGCATCTGTCTGGCTTGGTGAACTTTGCCTGGAGCTCTGGACCTCCAGCTCTGAAAGGGACAGCATCATAGTCCCTTTCAGAAAACCCCACACCTAGAAAGGAGTATGGGGAGAAGATGTGTGGGGCGTTGACCAATGGGTGTGACTGGCCAGCCTTGTCCCTCCTGGGGCCAGGAGCGTTGTTCTGAGGTGCTTACCCCACTGACCACCGTCCACTACTGCCGCTCTGGTAGGGGGACCAGGAATCAAGAGTCTTCTTGGGCTCAGACTTCCTTCCTGGTCCGCTTTCCCCATCTAGCAGGCAGACACAGCAGCGACACACAGACACACACACACACACACACACACAGACACACACACACACACACACACACACACACACACACACACACACACACCCCTACCTGCCTTCTGTCTCCCAGTTGGCAAAACTACTAGAGGAAACCACTCATCAAGTTGGTTAACTCTTCTGGGCTTAGCTAGAAGGTGGGGCTAGTTGGGGGGTACCCCCTCTGCACCCCTCCACACACCAGGGCCCAGTCTATTAGTCTGGGCAGCCAGCTCCACTTGTGGTGATTACCATTCTGTGGACTGCCCCTCCCCTGGCCCTTTCCCACTGGTTAGCACTGAAGGGTCCCAGGCTACTCATTTTCATGTTCTATGAGAATTTTATTAAAATCTGTTCAGTTCCGTCTAGGACTTCCCGGAAGAGCCCTCCACAGGGGGAGTTTGCAGGTATTGGCTTTTTTACTTGTCCAGCTTTAAAGCTTCCCTACCCTGTCACTCAGAAAGGGAGGGGAGGCATTCCCTGGGCTCACTGTTTGCTCCCAGCTCTGATACAGTGCCTGCCTGGCACACAGTGGGTGCTCAAGAAGTGTGTGGAATGAGTGAATTGAGCAGAGGCAAGGCCCTGCCTCTGAGCTTGTCTGTGCTGCAGTATTTGGGGAGCCCATGGCTCTGTCTCTGACCACTGAGAACGGTTGCCTGGACCTTTTTGTTGTCTGGTGAAGATGACAGACCAGCTGGGCCAGGGAAGAACAAATGTGAAAAGGGAAGGAAAGGGTGCCCCCTGAGGTCAGGAAGGGCAGCTCCTCCTCTGATGCAATCTGGCTTCCCCCTTCTGGGCAGTGAAACCCCCAGAACTGGGCATTATGGGAAGTTACTGATCCCATTCTGGCCTCTGTATCCAGAACGTACCTTAGAACTTGCCAAGGAAATGATCTCATGTCAACACTAAATCAGTTTACCATTTTTCAGAGACAAAAAGAAATGCTTTTGCTACAGGGAAGGAGACAGCAGAATTAACCCCTGTGGCCGCCACTGCTCCTGGAGCTAATAGCTTGGATCCCTAACCATGGCTGCCACTTCTCTCAGGCCCCAGTGTGTTTTCCTCTTGAAGAATGTGCTGGCTGCCTACCTTGGCTCGCAGCCTTGACTTAGAGCTCCCAAGAGACAAGCACAGCTCACAGCTCTCTAGGCTGAAGCTACCTACACCCAGCCCTGAAGAAATCGTTTGTGTATACCTTTTAAACTCTTCTATCCCATCTTTTGTGAGTACTTACTTTATGTCTAGTATTGTATTAGGCACCATGAATCCACAGGTATTGCAAAGGGAATCTGATTCAGAGATGAAGCCATGTCTCTACCCTCAAAAATAAGTCCAGAAAGGAAACAGATATATAACTGTGTCCCCATAGCAAAAGGGTAACATGTGACCGGTTTTCAGAAGCCACCTTAAGTCTGGAACGCCTGTAGGCAGCCTGGGAGCCCTTTATTCACCCACACATTCGACAGGTAGATGCCAAGTGCAAGCCCAAAGATGAATAAAACTTAGTCCGAGACCGTCAGGAACTTAGAGCCCAGAGGGAGAGAACTCTGACGCAGAGAGGTGTGGGTCACTGTGGGGCCCAGAGCAGGAGCAGCCACTCCCAGCTGGGGACCTTGGAAGGCAGGGTGAGGGAGGTGGTACTTGTGTTGGCCCTTGTAAACAAGTGGACTTCGGATGTGGGGAAATGGGCAGGTGCGTGGCAGGTAGAACACCCACAGTGTGTGCAGGCAGGGGCGCTGGGCACACAGCAGCGCTGAGTCTCTGGGTTCAGGAAGGGGGATGGTCAGGGAAACAACTAGGACCTGACCAGAGAGGGCCCTTAAATGTCACGGTGAGAACCTTAACTACTTGAGGACTCTTGGAGCTGCTGGGTTTTGAACCAAGTATGGACTTAACCAGAACTCAGTGGATCAGAGCTGAATTAGAATGGTAATAGCAGCAGCATGGAGGCTAGGTGGAAAGGGGAGAGAGAAGCAAGAAGACCATTTAGGAAAGACAGCCACAGTTGCGGTGAGAGGTGGCGAGGCCTGGAGCCACTGGCACAGCGAGAAAGGACAGGAGGTCCCAGACCCGAGTGCCAGCAGCAGGGCAGGACCTAGCTGTGACAGCTCCCCTAGGGCCCCAAGGCAGACCTGCCCCACCCCTCAAAGTGATCTAGAGGAAAAGAGCTGATAGTTCACCGGGCACAGAGCCCAGCCCACTGAGCTCCAATGCCAGCAGGCCATGGGCCAGCCTACTGCATACCCCAGGCCGGGCTGGGGAGGCCCTCAGTGCATAGCGTTCTTGGAAAACTGTGGCAGTGGCAGCACAGGGAGGTCCCCATGGGCCCTCTCCAGGTAGCCCTTTTGGCTCACAGGGTAGAAGCTCTGCTGGCACCAAAGCCCTAGGTTGACCTTTCCTCTTACCCCTACCCACTGCTGAACAGCTTTTCCCTTGAGAGAAGTACTCTGAGAGCCCTTCAGGTTCTCTTTCCTTCTGCCCTGGGAGTTGGCACTGAGCTGTATGAGGGGGAAGCATGTAAGGGCAGCTTGCCTTGAGGGGTTGGAGGTGGGAGGGTAGAATTTACTAGAAAATCTGGAGAAAAGCAAGCTGGACATAAGTGAGAGCCCAGGCGGAGTCCCTACTCAGTACTGGGGGGAACTGTCTCACTGAGACCCAGAGGAAGAACTACCAGCACATGCCTGCCAAGCACTCGCAAGGAGGGAAGAGACCTAACGGGACTTCGATGCAGCTAAGCTGCAGAACTGGCTGCCTGGAAATCCAGCTCTGACAAGGTGAGCAGAGAGAAGGCACTGGACAGTGTGGGAGCAAAGAAAGTCTTGCAAAGATAGCTGTTGACAACAAGTACCCCCCCAAAAATTCAAACCTCACCATCAAAGTTGCCCAGACTGCAGAATCCCAAAGTGGCCAACAGGTAGCCAAAGGAAACAAATCCGTACATAGTTTGGTAGAGCAGCCCTGGCAGCCTGGGAGCCTTGATCATAGTTGCCCACAGGCTTGGACTGCATGTCTGTCCAGTGGGGGCTGAACACAGGCTGGAGGAAGGTCCCTCAGGGTGGGGCTCTTCCTGCAGAGTCCAGGTTATTCACAACAGCCACCATTGACTGAGCACCCGCTGTGTGTCAGGTGTGTAACGGGCATTATCTCATTCCCTCTACCCGGCACCTTGCAGGTTGGATGTTTCACCCCTCTTTTGCAAGTCAGAAAATTGAGTGGTACTTCCCTGGTGGTCCAGTGGTGAAGAATCCGCCTTCCATTGCAGGGAGACACGGGTTCAATCCCTGGTCGGAGAACTGAGATCCCACATGCCATGGGGCAACTAAGCCCTGATGCCACAACTACTGAGCTCGCGTGCCTCAACAAGAGAGCCCGCGTGCCTCAACAAGAAAGCCCGCGTGCCACAACTACAGAGCCCACATGACCTGGAGCCTGCACGCCACAGCTAGAGAGAGAAAACCCGCATGCCACAACTACAGAGAAGCCCGTGCACCACAGCTAGAGAAGCCTGCACACCGCAGTGAAAGATCCCGCTTGCCTCAATGAAGATCCTGCGTGCTTCAGCTAAGACCCGACGCAGCCAAAAAAAAGATAAAAGAAAACAGGAATGTGGGTGTCAAGGGACATATCCTAGGTCACACAGCTAGTGAGTGGCAGAACTAAGGTCTGAGCCAAAGCCTTGTCTGCTCACAGACAAGGGAATACTCAGGCTTTTGGGGAAAGAGCAGAACCTTCTCTCTTCCTCCCTAGAGGTGCAGACTGAAGCCTCAGGCTGGGGTAGTTGGCTGCCTCTAGTGAAAAATGAGGGTATCAGGCATCCAGCCCCGGGAGAACAGTATGTGGGAAATAACTTGGGAAAGTTGGTGAGTAAAGTGGGACAAGAGGAGAAGACAGAATGCCTTCTAGAGAACAGTTAAAAATCGTCTTCCTCGAGTGCTTTTAGGAAGTGATATAAAGAGAACAACAATGAAGAGAGAGAGCACAGCTTTGAAACGGAGCAGAGCAGACCATTTGCCTTCTAGCCACACCCCGTACAGTTCCTTCGCTTTCCAAAGACCAGGCAGTGCCCCCTGTTCCAGGGCCAGGTCTACCAGTTACCCAAGACAGGGAGGAGCAGACACAGCCAGCTGTCTGGGCTGCCTGCATTAGCTGCATGACCAGTCTGCCTGTGGTATCCAGAGGGTTAAAACCAGACTCCCAGCTTCTGGTCCAGCCCTGCCTCTTAACCAGCTGAGCAGCCTCGGCCACCTAGGCCTCAGTTTCACCACCTGTAAAACAGAAGTACAAATTACGATTGTTTGGGGAGTCTTATCTAGTTTTCAAGTCCCTGACTTATTCTTTTTTTTTTTTTTAATATCTTTATTGCAGTATAATTGCTTTACAATGCTGTGTTAGTTTCTGCTATTCAGCAAAGTGAATCAGCTATATGTATACATACATCCCCATATCCCCTCCCTCTTGAGCCTCCCTCCCCCCCTCCCTATCCCACCCCTCTAGGTCATCACAAAGCATCGAGCTGATCTCCCTGTGCTATGTAGCAGCTTCCCACTAGCTATTTTACATTTGGTAGTGTATATAAAAGTCCATGCCACTCTCTCACTTCGTCCCAGCTTACCCTTCCCCCGCCCATGTCCTCAAGTCCGTTCTCTACATCTTTATTTCTGCCCTGCCACTAGGTTCATCAGAACCATTTTTTTAGATTCCATATACGTGCTTTAGCATACAGTATTTGTTTTTCTCTTTCTGGCTTCACTCTGTATGACAGACTCTAGGTCCATCCACCTCATTACAAAGAACTCAGTTTCGTTCCTTTTTATGGCTGAGTAATATTCCATTGTATACATGTGCCACATCTTCTTTATCCATTCGTCTGTCGCCTGACTGATTCTTGAAGTGAGGGATTGGCCCTCTTCTTGTTTCTGCTTTTAGCTAGAATCCCCCAGTTACTACTAGCGGTGGCCTGCCTAACTCAGAGGCCCAGGCCAGCAGTTAATTCCCTCCCTTCTGCTTTGTGCCTTCCAGGCGAGGGCTCGGAGTACGGTGCCAGCGGGGAAGACGCTCTCAGCAGGATCCAGCGGCTGATGGCGGAAGGGGGCATGACAGCCGTGGTGCAGCGGGAGCAGAGCACCACCATGGCCTCCATGGGTGGTTTTGGCAACAACATCATCGTCAGCCACCGTATTCACCGCAGCTCCCAGACGGGCACCGAGCCTGGGGTCGCGCGCGCCCCCTCGCCCCAGCCCTCCACCTCTCGGGGACTGCTCCCAGAAGCTGGGCAGCTGGCAGAGCGAGGCCTGAGCCCCCGGACAGCCTCCTGGGACCGGCCTGGTACCCCTGCGTGGGACCCACCCCAGGCAGCCCTGCCCGCCTCCTCCCCCATCCCCCTTCCCAGCACTGAGGGACCAGCCCTGCACTGCGACCCCACCAATAACAACCACCTTCCCGATGGTGGGGGCAGCAGCCTGGGGGAGGCTGCGGGCCCCAGTGGGGAGCCACGGAACAGGTAGAGACGTGTGTGCACTGGTTCCTCCCCTCGAACCGCTGAGCAGAAACCGGACCTCACAGCTGACTGGGAACTGTATGCGCAGAAGAGCCGCGGGCTGCGGAAACAGGAAACAGGAGCAAGAGGGTGGGGGGTTGAGAGGGAGTCCGAGTCAGCCAGCGTGAGGCAGTCAAAGGGGCAAGGCTTGCCTCCGGGGACTAGAACCTTCTAAGATCTGGAGCCCAGGGGAGCCACAGACTGCTGCGCTCAGTGTGAATGGAGGTGGAAATGGGTATCCCTGCCATGAACCCCCCTTTCTCCTGGAAACAAGGCTCAAGGGACTCAGCCCTGGGCAGAGAGCCCTCAGAAGGGTGAATAGTCTTCCAGATCTGGGCCAAACCATCCTGGACGGTGGCCAGTGGGCCAGCTTCTCCCTGTTCACCTGTTGTGCAGGCAGAGCCACTAGGAGCCCTAGTGCAGGAGGAGCAGCCTGGCTCCCAGAAATCAGCTCCATTTCTGAGCCTTCCAGAGCTTCAGCCTCTCTTGATCATCTTACCCCACAGAGACCACAGTCAGGGGTCAGGCCAGGCCTCCAGATTCCTGAGGACAGGGACTTCCTGCACTTACTGTTGGGGAACAACCATGGAGTGAATGGGGCAGCCTGCTTGCCTGAGACAGGATGGGGTCAAGGGATGGTGGGCAGGTCCTCGCTCAGGAGTGGGGGGTGTAGGCTGGCCAGCCCCCAGCGCTTGTCCACCAAGCTTCTCCTTCCCCACCACCCCCCAAGGCCCTCAGAGCAGCACCTGTGGGTGTCAGTATTAGCTGAGCCTAGGCCAAAGCCAGCCCAAGGCTGGGGGAGGGGATGAGACTCCAGGTCAGAATGTGAGGTCTTGGTCTGTGATTTAAGGTGTTGCATGTGGAATCTTGAACTGTACATGTAGTTTCTAGTGGAGAAATCGAGGCTCTGATTATTTTGTTTTTAGTATGAAAATGTGATTTCTTTTCTGTTTGTAACTCATCATAGAAACATTGTGGTGGGAGGAGAGGGGATAGTCTGACTGCTAATGAGGGAAACACCAAAGATCTACATCATTAAAATGATGACATGCCCCTCACCAGTCTCCTCTCTGTTTGTTTCCATGGGGGTTGCGGGGGTGGGGTAGTGTTGGGGGGGCTGGGAGAGGACATTGAACTGAGCCACCCTGGTTCTCCCAGGCACTGTTTCTGGTGCTGCTGTCCTCCTAGGTGGGGAGCCCCGTGATGCCTCAGCAGAAGCCACTCAGGTAAGGGCTGCCACCTCTGCTTCATGCTGCATCTGTGTGCCTTCACCTCCTGCTTCCCAGGGGCCTGCTAAGGACTGGAGCAACCTTCACAGTAACAGGTGGGTAGGTAAGAATGATCTAAGGTTGCTCGTCGTGATTGCTTCCTACCCAGGATGATGGGCCTGGAGTGAAGATGTAACTGGCCAGAAAGCTGGCTCACCTGCAGTCCTGGGAAAGCGCCCATAATGGGTGCCTGCGTGAGCCAGCAGGGAGCTTGGCCTTATCTACAGGCATCCCCCAAAGATGCCATTTGCTGGCTGCTCAGGTTTCCCTTTACTTTGTGTCAGTACAGCAGCTGAGAGGTGTGCTGTGGTCATGGGCCTTGGACACTTAGATTTAAGTCAGTTAGAAAGCGGAAGAAGGATGTTTGACCCTGCTCTCACAGAGGCATACAGGGAAATCAGAGCCACCGCAGGGCTTTTTGCCAGCAACAAGTACTTCTTGAGTAACTTTTGTGTGCTCAACTCTGTCCCAGACACTATGGGGCATACAGAAGTATAGGTTCTGCCCCAGCAGAGGCAAAACCAAAAGATAAATGGGCAAGCAAATAATACAAAACACTGTTAAGAGTTATATGGTGAGGAACAGTAGAATTTTTTGGAAAACTATTATATTACAGCACACTCTGGACTAAGACACACCAGCTGTGAGACCTTGGGCAGGCCACTTGCCTTTTCTCTTGCTTCATTTTCTCCCTCTAGGAGGCAGGGCTTGTACTCTGCAACCTCTTAAAGTTAATTCCAGCTCTGTAAGACAAGGCCTCCTTGAAGAGGTGAGGTTTGAGCTATGCATTAAAGGATGAAAAGAGAAGGGCGCCCACTGCAATGCGTGCCCTCCACCCACATACTGCCCCCAGTGGGAGAAAGAATTCCATGGTCCAAGAGTGGGGACTATGTTGAATGTAAACCGTGTGCCAAGGATTCAGTGTTTATTATCTCTCAGTCCTTAGCACAAAACCCCTCTGAGGTGGGTACTGGTACACCCAGATCACACAACTAAATGGTGGAGCCAGGGTTTGAACCCAGATGGGACCCTGACGTATTCTGTTACTTTGAAAAAGGGGGTATGAGGAGGCTTTGTGGATGAAGTGACCTAAATTCAGTCCTGCCTGGCCTCGCCTCTGTCCTTACTGGCCAAGGATGAACCCAGCCCCTGCCTGTTGGAGGCCCCTGTCAACACATTCCGTCCCCATACCAACCTCTTTCCTCAGAAAGCCCTTGCTGTGTGGGTAGAGCCTCCCCAGTAGGGCCTTCATGGACCCCCTTGCATATCATGATGAGGTTATGGGGCCAGCGGGGCAGAGCTCAGCAATCCCCTTGGAGATGAGGAAATAGGTTCAGAGCAGTTCTGTGGACCCAAGATGTCTATGGACCCAGTTGGATCAAAGAGAGTACAGACTAAACCAGGTCCCCTGGTTCCTGTCTCAGCTCTCCACGTTCTGGGATTGGGGGAGGCCAAATGCCCTACACCATAGTAGGAATTTTGGAGAAACTGGAGCAGGTTTGCCTGACAGCTTCTGGAAGAATTCAAGGCAGTGGTTGGAGACATTTCTAGTGATAAGTTTCTGTGGCCTCCAGTGGCCTTGCTTGTTTCCCCATCTTACAGTTATAAGTGTCTGGCCTTCTCCCGGCCTGTGTGCGTGTGCACACACACACTTTCACCCTCCTAGGAGGACCACCCTCTCCTGGACCCTAGGAGGGATGTGAAAAAGGGAAACCAGTGAGTACAGACTGTCATCTAATTGTCATATGAACCAACCAAGCCTGTTTCCTCATGTGTGAAGTGCAAGCAAAAACAATAGGGCTTTTTCATCCTTTGGTTATGAGAATCATGGGAGCCCAGATTGTTCATGTAAAGGACCATGGCTTCTCACTGCAGCCGACTGCCAACTCCAGCCGTCGCCTTGGGGAGCGGTAGGACCCGACCTCTGCCTCATTGTTCAGCACAGAGGGCTCCACACCAAGAGCCCCAAAGGGCTGCTTCTTGCCTGAGTTCCCGCCCCTTCTCTGGCAGCTCCTGCTGCCTCCTGCACTGGTGCGGCCTCCACCTCCCCCGCACACACAGCCCCCCGCCCAACCCTTGGGGGAGGGTGGAGGTGGGGCGGGACTTGAGTTGATTTTCCAAGAGAAGAACCCATCCGTCTTAAGGTTAATTGGATGTTTGCGCTCAGAGAGTTTGGGGTGACAGGCCCGGGCGTTGTGGGAGCGAGTCGGACCTTGACTGGCCCGAGGAAGGGCCGTCTCAGAGGGAGGCAGAAACGCTGGAGCCTGGGCAGGCGGAGCAGAACCCCCAAGGTCAGGGCAGAGGTGGAGCTCTCCGAGGTGCTGAAGCCTCCCTGCTCTCAGTCCGGCGAGCGCCCCAGCGGACCCTCCTGCTCGGTGCAGGCAAGGCCCCAAGTCCCAAGGCTCCGGCCCGCGCGGTTCCCGGACACTTCAAGAGACCAGCAGCTCGCCTTCTGGGGTCTCGTTCCGGGCTCCGCTCCAGGTGACCTTGGGCACTCGGCTTTCCCGCACAAGCATCGGTGAACCTGCCCTCCAGGCCGCGGCTGGATGAGCGGCGCGTTCTTTCCCGGGGCTGGAGAAAGGGTGCGCACCCACTCCCCGGCTTGGAGCGCGGGAGCAGGGAACAGGGCGGCAGGAATGGGGGGCGGGCAGGGTTGTGTGCGATGAGCCGGCTCCTCTCTCCCTGGGGACCGTTGCCTGGCTTCTCTCTCCAGCTCCTTCCCAGGCCCCGACGGCGCCCCTCTTCTGTGGCTGCCCGGTAGCCAGTACGCAGCCTCGAGGCTCGAAACTGCCGGCCCTCGGCTCTCTGCCCCGACGGAACCGGGGCGGCAGAGCCTACCCCAGCCACCCATAACCTCCTGTTGGGGTCAAACACTCGCGCCTCCGTGGTCCAGCTGCGAGCCGGGCAGTATAAAGAGTGAGGTCCGGGCGGGGCGCGAGACCACCTACCGGTCCGGGGGGCTTGGTCAGAGCGGAGATGGGAACGCAGCCAGACGGGGCTGCCAGCTCCCTTCCCAGCCCACGAGGGGGCGCCGCGTCCCCATGACAACGCGGACACCCCACCCCACCCCCAGCCTCCCGGGAGGGCAGCGCCCCCCGCTAAACAGCACTGGTGACCGTGGGCGGTGCCCCCATAGTGCCCGAGTGGAGAGCTGCCGGCCGGCTCCAGGGAGGGGCGCGCGTAGCTGGGGTCCCCGACGCCCGGGGTGGTGGCCCCCGCGCGTCCCCGTTGGGTGGCCGGCCCGGGGCGGGCGGCGCGGGCCCACCAGGATTGGCTGCTTCCCCGTGACATCACGCGGCTCGGGGAAAAGTGCGAGCGTGAGCGCGAGTCGGAGCCACAGCGCTGGGAGCTGCGGGCGGAGCAGGGGCCGCCCCTCTGCACCCCGTCCCCGCCCCCGGCCCGCGGCCCGGCCGCCCGCCCCACCCGCTGGCCCGCGGGGCCACCTGCCCGTCCAGCCGTCTGTCAGGTGCGAGGAGAACTGGGCGGAGGTGTCTGGTAAGTGACTCCGCGGCAGCGCGGGGGCGGGGGACCCGGTTGGGAGAGAAGGACGCGTGGCTTCTGGACCCTCTGAGGCGCCCCGAGGCGGGCCCGACTGGGCCAGGGCCTCAGGCTCCTTCGGGGGCGAGCGCGGCGCTGGGAGCTCCAGAGGGCCCGGGGGCGAGGGGCCCGCTGGAAGCAAGGCCCGGAGTCGCCCGGAGGCATCTCCGGGTGCGCCTCTGGGAAGGAATGGACTCTCAGTGGGTCGGGTGGTGGTGGTGGTGTGTGTGCCCGCCCACAGCCCGCCAGGAGCCAGGGGCAGCCGTCGGGGGCGGGACCCCGCACTTCTGCCCTCCTCTGGCAGCTCTGCAGGGCGCCGGACGCTGGAGCCCCAAAGAGCCTTTTTCCCGCCCGTCTCCCCGCCCCCCACCCCCCAGCGCTGCCAGCCCACTCCAGTCCGTGGAGTCCTCCATCAGCGACCTTGAACTCCGACGGAAAACACCACTGCCCTCTCCTGGTGCCCCTCCCCCCTCCAAGACTCCCCACCTCTTTTGCCCAGGCTCAGAGACTGGGAGGTCCAGCGCCAAGGCCCGAGCCCCAGGGCGGAAGCTTCAGGCTCTGGTGCCAAATCCCCTGCGCGCTTTCTCTCTCCCCGCAACTCCTGAGTCTCCCCTCCCGCCCCAGGGACAGATCCAGAGACCACAGCCTTCCCGGAGCCCTAGAGTGAACGACTAGGAATCGAGGACCCACCCCCACCCCCGACGTCCAGGGAACACGCTCCCATCGCGTCCGGGAAGGGGGGTGCTCCAGGACCCGGGAAAGCACGGTGCCCACGCCCAGAGGCTGCAGGAACTGCGCTCTAGGGAGTTGGGGGAGGGTGGGGCACGGGAGATTCGGGGCCCCTTCGACAACCACGGAGACATGGAGGAGCCTCCAGATGGGCCCAGTAATAATTCCCAACAAGGCCCGACCAAGCACCCTCCTGCCAGGCAGACTGGGCGCCCTTTGGCGATAACTGCACAGTGGGCACATTGAGCTGAACCTAGCGTCCCGCAAGCCCGGTTGAGAGACTCTAGCAGCAGCCCCTCGACAGAAGTCAGTCCCAGCCTGGGACTCTGCACCGCAGCATTGGGGACGCAGACACCACAGGACTCTCTGCTAAGAAGACGCCCCCAAGGTCAGGGGGTCTGTCGCAGCCCAGATTGTAGTCCGGTCTTGTCCTGACGGCGACTCTTCCCCATGCACAGGCGGGGCGCCATCTAGACACCGGTTCTTGGCCCGACCTTCTTCCTACTCAGACAGCCGAAGTCTGGGCTGAGCCTCCCTACAGGGGCGTTTAGAATGTGGCGGGTCACCCACTGTGGGACCTGCATTTGCTCGTGTACACAAGCTCACAGGTACAGGCACACCCGAACCGTGTGCATCCCCCAGGCCGCAGCACTCCAGGCGCACACACGCATGCACATGCACGTGTCCACACCGCGCGAGCATGCTCACATGCACACGGGCGCACTGGTATCCAGGCGTGGCCCAGCGCGCGCACACACACGCACATGCAGACAGCTACTAGCTTCTACTCGAGCTTCCCAGTAATCACACACAAACAGAACTCGCAGTCGCCTTCCCGCCCACACTTTCCTCGCCGCGTGAGGGGTGGAACCAGGCGCCCTTAACTTTCCCACCATTGAACCCCGTGCGGAGCCAAAGGCAGCTACGGGGTGAGGCCTAAAGGCAGCTACGGGGTGAGGCCTGTAGAGGGGGGGGGGGGCCCAAGTCCCTCCCCTGGGAGGCCCGGCCTGGGACCTCCACTGCTTTCCCAGTCGCCTTGGAGTAGGGGGCGGTGGCGAATAGCGGCCATCCTCTCCAGGTCCGGAGCTGGCACCCAGGGACCGACATTGCCATCTAGCGGTGCGCACATGCCTGGGCGGCGGTTGCTCGCCTCCCCAGGTTTCGGGCGGGCCTGCGTCCCAGAGAAACGCTCCAGAGGAGGGTGCAGTCAGAACGTCTGCGGGTGACCCCCACGGGTCCAGAAAGATAGTTTGGGTGGGGAACAGGGAGAGTGCCTTGCCGTGCCTGCAGCTGGCAGCTTCCCCAAGAGGGCCCAGAGAGGGACTTAAACCCTTGGCCACCTGATTGGAGACTAGCTGTACAGATGGAGACAAGAGGTCTCTTTTCTTCTGGGAAAGCTAAGTGTGGGAGCTGGCAGGGAATGAGAAGGGGCCCTACCCAGGCCTCCCCTGACCCACCCCTAGTGGTGTGGTTTTGAGGAGGGGAGAGCAGAGGCGGGAAATCAACTCTAGAGGCAGTAGCACCTTGCAGTTAAGGAGGTGGCTCCTGGGTTCTAATCCTGCCCCCGCCCCTGCTTACACACTGGGTGACTTTAGGCAAGTTAATTAACATTATCCTCATCTGTACGAAGATACTTACTTCAGTAAGATGAGCATACTTATAGCACCTGCCTTCTCAGGCTGCTGTAGGAATTAAACCCGATAATCTGTATAAAAAGCTCAGAGGGATTCCTGACTCATAATTAACACTGAATAAACAAGAGCGATTATGTTTTTCCTATTTGATACCTCGAGCCCCATTCTGATCTCACTGGCCTGTGTCCTGAACCTGGGAGGCTAGAGCGAGGGTTTCCTTGGGGCTGGCTGACAGATCACTCCTGCCCACCCTGTGCCTACGGGCAGGTGCCTAGGAAGGACAGCCACTCCACGCTGGGTGCCTCTGCCCTTCCACCCCTCCTCAGAGGGTGGTGCCTGAGGTTCCATTCTGGAGTCTCTCAGCACTGAAAAGGGCTGTCAGAGACCCCCCCCGCCCCCCAGGAGAGGGCAGTATCTGGTCTTTGCCCTTGATTCCTCTGCGACCTTGGGGGTGGCACCGCCCCTCTGTGAGCCTCTCCTGTGAACCTAGGATTTGGGCATGAGAACTGAAACTACCAGGCCAGGAGGCTGGGTCTGCATCTGCGTCTGTGATGGTGGCTTAAGGGGACTGAAGCCAGGCTTGGAGAGGGGGCGTCACCCTGGCACCTGGCTCCAGCGTCCAGTGCACGTTAATGCTGGAGATGGAGTTGAGCTGCTGACCCCTACCGCTGCCGGGGAGGGAGGCCGCCCCGGGACAGGCATCCTCTCTGTTTTGCAGATGAGAAAGAGAGGAGCAGGAAGGTGAGGTGGCTTGTGCAAGGCCACACGGCTAAGAGCCCGCTGGCCGTGGAGCCTGGGCTGTGGGGCGCATGCTCCTTCTTCCACACCCCACTGTCTCTCCTCTGCTTCTCTCACACAGACGCACAGAGCTGCATATACGACAGGGAGCTGCGGGGCTGGCATGGCTGTGATGGGCCTGTGTGCGTGTGTAATGGTGCGCGTGTTGGCGGGTGTGAAGGAGGCTGGGCTGAGCGGCTGCCCTGGCACAGTGCCCTGGGCGTGGGCCTCCCTCACACGCAGAGGAGAGGAAGAGGGGGAGGAGACGTGACGAGGCTCTGGGGAGGAGCCTCGTGCTTGGAGGACCCCAGCTGGGGCGCCGTGGTGTGTACCGGTGGGCCGAGGGGTACCCTCAGGGGCTGGCCACAGGCTCCCCTGCTGCAGCCCCTCTCTTCCCTCTGGTACACTCGCTCACCCTTTGGGTTCCCTGTCAGGCCTTGGGGAGGGCACTGGCCCCTGGGAAGCTGTGTGTGTCTTTCCTCAGTTGATGGGCCCTTTAGGCTTCTGATTCTTCACAGGTCTTAGCCCCTGGCTGCTGACAGACCCCAGCTACCCTTGCACTGCATCCCCACGCCCTGGGGATGGGGGAGGGCTCCGGGAGGGGATGCCACAGTGGCACTTTCCTCCTCCTCCTTCTTGGATTCCTAGTTCCATGTCACCTCTTCTGGTCCTCTGGGAAGATTTCCCCAAGGTGGGATCACTGGCTCTTGTGGCTCTTTGGGCCTCCCTCTACCAGAACCCTTAGCTCTGGGACAGCAACATGAGATCAAGCTGTGGAACCTCGGGCAGTTTATTTAACATCTCCGTGCCTTACTTTCCTCATCTGTTAGTAAAAGAAAACAGTATCCGGGACTTCCCTGGCGGTCCAGTGGTTAAGACTCTGTGCTTCCACTCCAGGGGGCTTGGGTTCATTCCCTGGTTGGGGAACTAAGATCCTGCGTGCCGAGCCACATGCCACCCCCCCACCAAAAAAAACAAAAACAAAAAAAACCCCACCAAAACAACACAGTATCTACTTCATAGGTTTGCTATGAGGATGAAATGAATGAATACTTATAAAAAGTGTAGAAAGTGCCCAGCACTGAGTAGACAATAAATGTTCGCTGGTAGTATATATTCTTGCCTTTGTCCCTAGTGCCTTCTGTAGGGATTGGAGGGCAGGTCCCCGGTAATGTTTGGTTAAGAAATGACCAAATGGGTAAATGAATGAATACGTCTGACCAGAGCCACATACTGATATCTGGGACCTCTCTTCCCCCCAGCCCTCCACCCACACTGGCCTTCTTTCCATGCCTCACACATGCCTCAGGGCCTTTGCTCTCGCCATTGCCCTTGACTAGGCCACTCTCTGCAGCTCTTCTTGTGGCTGCCTCCTCCTCATCATCCAGCTCACCTCCTCGGAGAGGCCTTCGCTGATCACCCCTCTGACTCACTCACCATCACCTGCCCTTGTTTTCTTTCTAGCACTTTTTTGTGGCTCACATGCTTGTATGTCTCCCCTGCTAGGGTTGTAAGCTCCGTGAGAGTGGGGCCTGCGTGTGTCTCCTTCACTCTGTAACCCCAGCATAACCCCAGCGTGTACAACAGTGCTTGTACAAGAGTAGGCACTCAACAAAGGACGAGTGACCGAGTACAGGAGGAAGTGATGGGACAGAGTTCTCTAAGGATGGAGTTCTGCAGGATGGTGATGCTCCTCTGTCGCCTTGACTCCAGTGTACCCCACCTCACCCCTCTAGTCCCCTTCAACCATTCACCCCTTTCCTCTCTCCTTCCTCCTCCAGACACTGCCCGCCCACTGCTGCTAACCAAAATGGCGAACTTCACACCGGTCAATGGCAGCTTGGGCAACCAGTCTGTGCGCCTGGTCACGTCAACCCATAACCGCTATGAGACAGTGGAGATGGTGTTCATTGCCACGGTGACAGGCTCACTGAGCCTCGTGACTGTCGTGGGCAACATCCTGGTGATGCTATCCATCAAAGTCAACAGGCAACTGCAGACGGTCAACAACTACTTCCTCTTCAGCCTGGCATGTGCTGACCTCATCATAGGCGCTTTCTCCATGAACCTCTACACCGTGTACATCATCAAGGGCTACTGGCCTCTGGGTGCCGTGGTGTGTGACCTGTGGCTGGCCCTGGACTACGTGGTGAGCAATGCCTCTGTCATGAACCTGCTTATCATCAGCTTTGACCGGTACTTCTGCGTCACCAAGCCCCTCACCTACCCCGCGCGGCGAACCACCAAGATGGCGGGCCTCATGATCGCCGCTGCCTGGGTCCTGTCCTTCGTGCTCTGGGCACCTGCCATCTTGTTCTGGCAGTTTGTGGTGGGCAAGCGGACGGTGCCAGACAACCAGTGCTTCATCCAGTTTTTGTCCAACCCGGCGGTGACCTTCGGCACGGCCATCGCTGCCTTCTACTTGCCTGTGGTCATCATGACGGTGCTCTACATCCACATCTCCCTGGCCAGTCGCAGCCGAGTTCACAAGCACCGGCCCGAAGGCCCTAAGGAGAAGAAGGCCAAGACCCTGGCCTTCCTCAAGAGCCCCCTGATGAAGCAGAGTGTCAAGAAACCGCCCCCAGGAGAAGCTTCTCGGGGGGAGCTGCGCAACGGGAAGCTAGAGGAGGCCCCTCCACCGGTCCTCCCCCCCCCGCCACGCCCAGTGGCTGACAAGGACACCTCCAATGAGTCCAGCTCGGGCAGCGCCACCCAGAACACCAAGGAACGACCACCCACAGAGCTGTCAACCACAGAGGCCACCACGCCCGCCACACCTGCACCTCCCCTGCAGCCACGGACCCTCAATCCGGCCTCCAAATGGTCCAAGATCCAGATTGTGACGAAGCAGACAGGCAACGAGTGTGTGACAGCCATCGAGATTGTGCCTGCCACGCCGGCTGGCATGCGTCCGGCGGCCAATGTGGCCCGCAAGTTTGCCAGCATCGCCCGCAACCAGGTGCGCAAGAAGCGGCAGATGGCAGCCCGGGAGCGCAAGGTGACTCGGACCATATTTGCCATTCTGCTAGCCTTCATCCTCACCTGGACACCCTACAATGTCATGGTCCTGGTGAACACCTTCTGCCAGAGCTGCATTCCTGACACCGTGTGGTCCATTGGCTACTGGCTCTGCTACGTCAACAGCACCATCAACCCGGCCTGCTACGCCCTCTGCAATGCCACCTTTAAAAAGACTTTCAGACACCTGCTGCTATGCCAGTATCGGAACATCGGCACTGCCAGGTAGGCAGGTAGGGGTACCACTGGAGGTGCTGGTGTGTGCGCTGGGGACCACGTGTCAGCTGCTGCCAGGAAGAGATGTGGAGGCACTTCTCAGTGTTCATGTTTGCCGAAGAGAACTGATGTTCCCGAGACCCCGTGAGCCTCAGGAAGAGGCTCTGGCTGGATTCAGAGACCAGGTCTCTGCTCAGGCCAAAGAGGATCAGCCCCAGGAAGTGACCAAACTGGACAGTCTGACCCATCGCTCTTGTCCTGCCTCAGGGAGCTGGGGAGCACTGGCCTATGTGGGCACCTGCCCCACTATGACCAGCCAGCGTGGCTGAAAGAACGGACATCTGGAGGGGAGCAGAGCCCAGCACCCCTCTGGGAGGAGCAAAGGGGCCAATGCTTGGGAAAGGAGGCTCAGGGAGGGAAGGGTCCCCCATCCTGCTGTAATCGGTGCTTTCTGCCCCCCTGTACCCCGCATGTAGGCTCAGCCTCCTCTTCCTATATCTCTCTCCAGGGGCAGAAGTCTCCCCTTGCTGCAGCTACTCAGCAGGGCTCTGGTTGGGTGGGCGGGTCAGTGGGTGAGCTGGCTGGAGGCCAGGCAGAGGGGGCTCCGAGCACCCCCTACGGCACTACCCTGGCCACGTTCAGGATGGGCTGGCAGGGAGATCAGGGGTTCACTCAGGAACTGGGGCCTGGCCACCTACCTCCCCAGGCTGAGCTGAGTGGCCCCTGTCATTCTGAAGAGTTGCCCTCCCTCCCCAAGGAGAGGGCTTGGCTCGGGTCACACACAGTGAAGGTGGGACTGTGGTGAGTGGTATTCACGGCTGGCCTCTGCAGCACGAGGGACGCCCTGGTGGGTCACCAGGGAGAAAACGGGGGTGGACTTGACCCACACACAGGCTTCAGTGACAGTTGGGGCAGGGCTGGTGAGGCAGGCAAGCGACCCCCATCTCTCCTCTCCCAGCTGATAGAACCTTCTGGATTGGCAGTGGGCTGGACCAAAAGACCTTTACCTGGGGGAAACTGAGATGGGGGGAATCAGTTCTAATGAGTCCCCTGGGTTCCCTCCCCCAGCCCTGGCCCCTGGAGAAACAGGACTGAGAGGCTCAGGGGACTTGATGGGGGGCACCCTTCCAGGGGTCAGTAGGGGGCCCTGGAAGAAATTTTCATAACCGTTTTTTCTCCATGAGCTCTGGGGGGCACTCACCGCCAAGTCTTCAACCCCCTGAAAGCCACTGTTCCCTCCAGCCCTCTCTTTCCTCCATTCTCCCACCTCCAACAAATCACCACAGCAAACTTCCTGGGAAGGGGCTTTTATATATTAAAAGAAAGCTTTTATTGGGGAAAAAAAAAAAAAGACATTTATTTATTTCTTAGTAATGGCATCATTGGGGGAAGAAGAAAAGTGGGTACAGGGGAATCAAATCCCTTTGGGCGAGGCTCAAGCTGCCTAGAATCCCTTGTCCCTCCCCACTTTGGGCACTTGGGGTGGGTGTGGGCAAGTGAAAGGGAAGAAGCAGGGCATGATTGATAAAGCTAACGAGTAGGCAAAAGGCACTGATGGGTTATATCCTGGGCCGGTAGAGGGAGGGCATGGGCCAGGCCTCCGAGTAAAGCTCCTTGGCATCCAGGCCTGGCCGCTAGTCCTTTCCCTTCCCTTTCTTGGCTGTAAAACAAGAAAGAAAGACCGCATTAGCAGGGTTTGGGTGACCCACTGGAGACCCCCTTCCCCCCAGCACAGACATTAGAGAAGAGAAAATTCTGCCCCCTGGTGGTTCTCTATCAGCTAGCCTGGAAGCCTGTGGGACAGGACAGCCATTATGATGCTGGACAGTCCTTACTCCCCCCAGCTTAGACTTTGGGGATCAGAAAACCTTCAAGTTCCCGGTCTCAGTCCTGGTCCCAGCAGCCCTGGACAACAGCCTCAGTCTCCTCACCTGAGAAGTGGGCAGATTCCACTCTGGCCTGTTGGCCTCCAGGGCTGCTGTGAGTCAGGAATGAAGCTAAGGGAAAGAGGAAGTAAGGACTGTGAAGTCCTTCCCATATAGAAACTGCCCCCACCTGCTGGAGAGATGACAAAGCCAAGCTGTTCCAGTACGATTTCCCTGAATCCCAAGCCAAAGGCTCCAACAGAACAGCTGACTTTGTCCTTACTTGAGCCAGGATTTCAACCTCCCGAGCACCCTCTGTGGCGGCCCTCAGTACCGCCCACCCAAGGTGTCTCTACCTACAGGGAAACCCGGTACAGACACGTCAAAAATTCACTGGCCAGGATCCAAAACTTCAGGTTTTACCCACTCCCTTCACAGGTAGGGGCAGCCACCTGTGATGACCCCACCCCTGGCCCCTCTGCTAACCTTTGGCCTTGGCTTTGGTCTTGGGGGTGCAGGGCTTGGTCACACGGATGGTCTCCTGGCACTGGGCATTGTACCGCGCCTTCTTCAAGGTGCCTTGGCGGGCTTTGGTGCCTGTGCCCCCATCACATGCCCCCCAGCTCTCAAACTTGTACTTGCAGTCGGCTGGCGGGAGAGTGCCCGGGTCAGAGCTGGGTGGCCTGTGGCCCCCTCCACGGGTCTGCTCAGGTCCCCGTGAGGCTGGGCCCCCCACCTACCCTCCGCCTGCGCCCCACCTCACCTCCAAACTCCTTCTTCCAGTTACAGGGGACCCGGCACCGGATGCGTTGCGTCTGGGCCCCGCAGGTGCCCTCGCGGAAACCCACGCCGCAGTCCTTGCTGCTGGGGGTGCAGGGCCCCCAGATCCACTCCGCGCACTCGCTCCCCGGGCCTCCCTTCTTCACTTTGTCTACAACGCATGGGGAACAGAGCTCAGGACCCGGGCCAGGAGAGACTCACTCGGAGACCCCTTCCTGGAGTCCCGGCCTCGGAACCGAGGCTGCCGGCCTCACCTGCCCGGCTCCAGCCCTCCTTAAACCCCCCACCCTCCATATCACCTTTCTTTTTGGCCACTGCGGAGGTGAGCGCCAGCAGGGCGAGGAGGGCGAGGAGGAGGAAGCCTCGGCGCTGCATCCTGGGGGTAGAGCACGGGTCAGAGTCCTCACTGGGGGCCGCAGGCGTGAACCTCCCACCCCCTTTCCCCAGTTTCCAGGCCCAAAGGGTCGGGCGGCTACTGCGGTGGCGGCGGACTTGGGGGGCTGGCCCCTCCCCGCCAGCCGGGGCGCACAGCGGGAGGAGTCTCCCCAGGGGCCGCCTGGAGCCCGGGACTCAGCTCAGACCCCCACCCCGCCTCCAGCCCCCAGATCGGCAGCGGCCGAGGGGCCGAAGCCGCCGCGCGCCCTCCGGGGCCCCGCACACTCACTCGCTCGCTGCCCGCGCTGCTTCGCTCCCTCCCGCGCCGGGCCCGTCCCGCTCCGGCCGCCGCGGCCCCTTTTGTCTCCAGAACCGGTCTGAGCCGGTCACATGGGCCCCCGCCCCCTCCCCCCCACCGACGAAGGACCTGCCCCGCCCCCTCCCCTCAAACCCGCGCCGCCCCCGACCCCGGCATCCCCGCCTCCGCTCCCTCCCCGAGCCCCCCGCGCCTCTACCCCCTCTTCCCGCCGCTCGGCCCCACACCCTCGCCTTGCCTCGTCTCGCCCGGCCGGTGCCCTCCGCTTTCAGACGCCGGGCTCTCCTGGCGTCCCCAGCCCCAGCCCCGGGTCTCCGTCCTATCCCGGCACCCCCTGTCCCCAGCCCCCAATCTCGCGCTCCCTCGGCCCAGGCCCCTGTTTGCCGTCCCCGCCCTCTGCCCCCTCCTCGGGGCCGTCCCCTTTCCCCTCTGGACGCCAGCTTCCCTTCATGGCCACGGAGCTTTAGGTGGAGACCAGGAGGGAGCACGGAGCCCCGGGTGTGTCACAGGTCCCGGCGTGGGGCCCGCGTTCGAGCCTGTGTGCGGCTCTGTCCGTAGAGCCCCGGGTGCAGTGATTAACCCCGTCGAGGCCCCGCTCCGCCTCCCAGGGCCCGCTCGACTCCCAGCGCCCATTAGATCCCTGGGGAAGGAGTGCCAGCCCCCGCCTCGGGTCGCTTCACCAGGTCTGCAGTGAGATGCTCTGCTCAGTGTCGAGATGGGGCTCGGACGGGGCACCCCAGAAAAGCGCACGGGTCGGAAAGGCGCGGAGGCCACTGCGCCTTTCTCCACGCGCAGGTTGGCGGGCGCGCGGGGGGCGGGGGAGCTGGGGAAGGAGGAGCCCGCAGGCCTGGATTTGGTTAAGATTTAGAGCCGACAGCAGCCGTCTGAGAAGTTCCAGACGCGGCCCGGCAGCGGCTGCAAACGCCCACCCCTTCTGAGCCTGGAGGCTCGGGGATCACCTCATCCGATACCCTAAACAGCGAAAGCAGTTGAGGCCAGGAGGGGGGGGTTTGCCCCAGGCCATAGGCGCCCCCTCTCCACCTCTTTCACTTTCATTGTTATCTTCCCCGCGGGAAGCGGGAAGCAGGAGGAAATCAGCTCCTCCCCCGGCCACGACCAGCGCGGCAGCCAGGCAGAGGTCAGGTCCCGGGCAGCCCCTCGGACCCCACCCCGAAACGGAAGCCAAGATCCCTCGAAATGAGTCTGGGTCTGGGTCGACGGTGTCCAGTCCCCCACCCGGAGGATAACCCAGCAGATCCCACCGCTAATGGAAGACCTCCCCCACAAAAAAAGAAAAGCGGAAAGGAAAAAAAATCCACTTTACTGAGTCACACCCAGCTGTAAACATGTCACCGTGAAAGCCCCCACCCCCACCCCCCAGGCCACACAGTCGGAGGTGAAATGACTGGGTTTGGGAGGAGGGTCACCGGGTAGGTGCTAAGCAGGGCAGCGGGCAGGCAGATGCAGCAGGCTCCGTGTTTCCGGGAAGAAGCCCTGGGGGCGGGGGTGGGGGGGTGGTGTCAGGGCGGGAGAGGGGCCCAAGCTCCCAGGAGCCTCAGAGTGAGGGTCCTAAAGGACCCGGAGGCTTAGGAAGCGTCTTCCTGGGGGCTCCCTCACAGGGCCTCAAGGCCCTCTGCCCTCTGGGCTGCGGGCCCTCAACCCCAGGGCACCCACTGCAGGGAAGGTGAGGGCCCCCCCAGCCCCCCCAGTGGTCTGCCCAGCCCAGTCCAGTCTCCTGGCCCCCTGTGAGCCTCTGGGTTAGGCTGTGGCCTCAGGGGGCCGGGTGAGACCCCACCCCACCCCCTGGCCCCCAGCTCCTCAGAGTCCAGCCCTAGGTCTGGGCAGCTCCACAGGGAGCAGCACAGGGCTCCTTCCCTGGGTCCTGGGTCCCGGGTCCCTCTGTGGCCCTCTGCCTGGAATGTGGCAGTGAGGTGGGCGAGGAGGGGCTGGTCCTCTGGCGGCCCGTCGCCCTTCTGCGCAGCGGCCTCACACAGCCGTCTCCTGGTCCTCCCGCTGGATCATCTGGTAGTGCTGCCGGTTCTCCAGGTACGCGGCCAGTTCCGTGTCCTGAGCCCTCTCAGCCCGCTGCCGGGGAGTGTCGCCCTGGATGAGGGGGGCTGCCATCACCTCAGGGACCTGTCGGCCCCAGCAGGCTTAGAAGATGGGGGCTCTTCCCTCGGGAGCAGCCAACTCTTGCTGGCTCAGGTTCTCGGGGTCTGGACTGTGCTGGTTGAAGGACAGCTTTGAATCCCCAGAGGCGGCCCTCCCCCAGACTCCCCTCTCCCCGGGCTGGAGTTTGGGAAAGGGTTGCATGTGTTTGCGTGGATCCCCTGCCTGCCCTGCTAGTCTGCTCACCTGCTGGTCTGTCTTCATGAGAGAGGCCCCGGCCTCCACGATGTAGTGGCAGATGGTACGCTGGCCCAGGGCTGCGGCCTGGTGCAGACAGGTCTCCCCGCTGGGGGAACAGGGGCTGGCTGTGGACCCCATCCAGTCCTCTGAGCCCTCCTGTCTCCCAAAGGCCATTAGAAAGGGCAGGAAGTTCAGGGTCCTGGGGCAAGGGGGGGGTGGCCCAGAGGATGACAGATGTGGCCAGGAAGGGTTTATGGGCTCTGACAGGACCAAATGGGAGGGGCTAGATAAAGACGGGACAGTTTCCAGGGTAACTGGGGTCCTGCACTGCCCACATACTCACTTTTCCTCCACAGCATCAAGGATCTCTGTGGGGGCTGGAGAAGGGGGAGGGGGAAGTCAGAGAGGCCTGGCAGCCTCTCCTTCCTCCCAGGGGCCCCAGTGGCACAGCTCACCGTGGTCCAGCAGGTAGCGGACCACTTCCTTGCTGCCGGTGCTGACAGCGTGGTGCAGGAGCGTGCGGCTCCGCTCGTCTCGGTGCATGAGGTCACCCCCGGCTCGGTGCAGCTCCTGGAGCTGGGGGCAGGAGGCAGAGCAGGGCTGGGGCTCCTCAGGGCCACCCTGCTTCCAGCCACAGAAACGCCCCCCAACTCACACAGGCCCCAGGCTCCCTAGGGGCCTCTGGGGGTCTTTCTGGAGCGCAGGGGAGACACGATGAGCTTCTCTCACCCCAGGTGCCCCTGGACACCCCGGGAGCACTGACGACCGAGCCTTGGAGCCTGCGGTTCCTCTAAGGCTCGATCCTTTCTGAGCACCAGGGACAGGCAGAATGAGCTAGGAAGCCCCTATGCAGGGACATCGATTGTGGGCTGGACAGGGATGGGGGGCATGGCTGACTGGAACAACCACACGGAGGCCCCACAGAGGCCCAGGCGACGACAGATGACCGTACCTCAACAGATCAGCTCTTGGCCCAGCCCAGAGGCCCCACTCCCCAGGGCCTGAGGGGGCTGCCAAGGGGAAGAAGCCCGAGCCTGGCACTAGTACCTTACAGAAATCGTTCCTCTTGGCAGCCTCGACCAGCTCTTCACCTGCACGGAACACCTGCCTGTTACTCTCTGGCACCGGACGCCTAGGCATGTGTCGGTGTGTGAACATACGTCTGAGGTACTATTGTGCAGAGAAGGGGGCCTGTTGGGGCACGTATGCCAAGGGCTGTGGGCTCACGGTGACTGTGACATAGCTGTGTTCTTGTGAGGCTGCGTATGGGCTCCACCCCACCCGACCCCACCACCCCACCGAGCCTCCGTCCTAGGACCAGGGAGGAAACAGGGGCCCTGCAGGGAGAGGCCTCACCTGTAGGGGGTGCAGCATCCCCTGGCAGTGACCTGCAAACAGAGCAGGATGAGATGTGGCAGGGCTACGGGTGACATGGCTACAGCACAGGCCCAGCCTGTCGCCCTCCCCAGCCCCAACCCGGGGTGCCCTCTGTCCTCTCAACAGTTTATTGAGTGCCTCCTATGTGTCAAGTGATGTTCTGGGCACTGGCAACACAGCAGTGAACACGGCGGGTAGAGAACTTGCTCTCAGGGAGCTTACATTCTAGTCAGAGAGACAAACAAGTAAACAAATAAATAAGGTATTTTGAAACAGCAGGAAGTGCTACAAAGAATAGGAGACAGGCTAGTGTGGTTGAACAGCAACTTCAGGTGGGGCTCCTGGGAGACTCTGAGGAGGAAACACCCAAGCTGAGAGATGAATGGAGGGGCAGCTCTGTGAAGATCGGGGAGGCAAGGAGAAGTCCAGAGGTGGGCAAACTTGTGCCTTAAAGAACCCAGAGGCGAGTGGGGCTGGACTGTGGTGATGGAGCAGGGAGGGCGCTGGTGGGGTCAGAGACCACCAGGCTCAGGCTGCGTGGGATGAAGTGACCAGGTACAGGGGGAGGGCACACTGACTGCAGGGTGGGTGCTGGGGAAGAAGGTTCCAGGCTGGGGGGAGAGAGCAGGAGGCAGGGGCTCCGCGGTGTGCTCAGACGCGGCGGGCGGATGGTGGGGTGGAGGGCTGGCAGGCTGGGTTCAGTTTGCTGCCTGTGGGTCAGTGGGGCGGGGCCGGTGGGGACCACAGGCAGCTGGACGTGCGTCTGGCACTCAGGGAAGTGGCTGGGGCAGAAGACAGGGCTTGAGGAGCCGCTGCCTTACGGGTGGGATTTACAGCCAGGGCACTGGCTGAGGCCTGGGACTCACCGGGGCCTGGGTGAGCAGGGCGAGGTGGGGAGGGGGGAAGAGGGCGTTGGGAGGTCGGGTCGGGCAGACGCCCCCAGCAGCTCAGGGTCCAGGATATAAATCTCATCCTGTGTGATCTCGGTCACGTAGTTGAGGTGTTCCTGCGGGCGGGAGGGCAGGGCCGAGAGTCAGGGCCCTGCAGGGTGGCCGGGGTGGTGGTGGAGGGGCTTCCAGGCCAGGAGACCTGGAGAAGCCTCTGCTGTGAGCAGGAACGCTGACAGGAGGCAGGCGGGCCAGTGGCCCTGCCAGTCCCCTGTCCCCTCCCCCATTCTCCTCTCCTCTCCTGCCACCCAAGCCCATACCCTGACCTCCACACAGCGGGCCCCCCAGCTGGCCAGCCCCTTCCTACTGCTAAGCGTTTACCCAGGTGACCAGGCTTCTGGCCAGAAGTGCCTTTCCTTCCGTGACTGGATGGATGACAGCTGTGCTGTGAGGGCCGCCCCCACCCCACGCCAACCCAACCCAGCGAGCCCTGTCCGGGCACACGGGCTCCCTTCTCCCGTCAGCACCATCCCTGTGCACGGCCCAACCGCGGACACTATGGGACGCAAGGACGGCTGTGCCCGGCTGTGGAGGGTGGCCTAGCACGACAGGGGATACTGGGGCCCCGGAGCTGGCGGCGGACGGAGCAGGACGGCGAGTGCTCACCTGGGCCCTGTCGATTCTGTAGAAGCGGCTAGCAGTGGTGGCTGTGGGGAGAGAGGTGGCTGAGGAAGGGGGCCCTTGTCCAGGCCTAGGTCTTCTGCCGCCCCACCTAGGACCCCCAAGGGAGGGGGCAGGACACGGCCTGGGACCACCCTGAGATGGCCCTTGGGGCCACTCACCATCCAGGAAGCACCACTTGGGGGAGAGTTTCTGGCACGTCGGAGACTTGGCTCCAGCACCTTCGGGCTCCTACCGAGAGAAGCAGAGGCCGGGGCTGGGGGCGACCAGAACCCGGGGCAGGAGGGGGCAGCCCAGGCAGGCCCCAGACCTGCTCCTCACCTGCCTGAGCCTCTCGATGTGGGCGCGGCACAGCTCCAGGTCGCTGTCTCCCGGGACCACCACGGTGCCCAACGGCACGGCTGGAGGACAGAGCGGCTGTCAGCAGCCGGCTGCCCCCCACCGCCCTGCCCTCAGGGGACCCGGCGCTCCTCGGAGCCCCCAGCCCCGTTCGCCACTCACAGGCCTCTTTGAGCTGCTCCTTGTCATAGTGCAAGGCCTCGTAGTCGTGCATGCTGACCCTGCTCACCTGGATCCGCAGCTGCTCCGGCACTGGCTGCTGGCTGCGGGCGGGGCGACCACACAGCACTCGGCAAGGGCTCTCCTGGGCTTCCCGTCCCCGCCAGGCACCGAGCCACGTGCCCCACCCAGCTGCCCCGGGGGACTGTGAGCCTCATTTCCAGATGGGAAAACCGAGGCTGGGGAGGGGCATACTCGCTGTGCAGGGGGGCAGCGCTCCGCCGCTTGGCCTTCTGCACCATGGTGGCCTGGTTGCGCAGCGAGATGCGGATGCATGAGGCTGCGAGCTTGCAGGGCTCACCATCCACCTGCACTGGGATGGCCTTAGACGTGGTGAGCAGCACCTCTCGGCACTGTGTCAGCCGCTCGCCGTGCCCGCCCACCTGCAGTGCTGCCTGTGGGCGCGAGAGGCTCAGGCCAGGGGCCAGGGGGTGGCAGGACCTCAAGCTCCGCTTTTCCCAGGGATGCTCTGGCCAAAGTGAGAGTGACCCCCCGCCCCGTGGAGAGCAGACGGAGGGTGAGACCCCAGCCAGAGAAGGAGGTGAGGGTCAGCTCTCCTGTCCTGGCCAATGAAGGAAGTTTGGTGACTGCCCCCCCTTCCATCTCGGGGCCAGGCTCCGGGGCACTGTGGGGACAGGGCCGGGGCAAAGAGGGGCCGGGGCTCTAGACGGTCCCCGTGCTGGCTCACTCACCAGGGATGTCATGGTAAAGCCAATCACCTCGAGGTAGCCATCATCATGCCGCTGGGGCTCGAAGTCATGGTGCTCCCCAGGGTGGCCCCAGGGCATGGTGCCTGCACAGTACCTGCAGGGGAGGGCACCACAATGGGCTTCAGGGGACGGGCGTGCAGGACAGAGGCAGCAGGGCCCACACAGAGCCCTTCCCTCCTCACCTGGGGATGTTCAGGAAAACAATGCACTGGGGTTTCAGGTCCTGAATCTTGGGGGTCAGGTCAGTCCCGTCACACTGGAGGCGGGAATGGCGGAGGGTGTAGAGGGTATATGTACCCAGGTGGTCTCCCTTCCGCTGGGCCCGCCCACCCTGCCTGCCAGCATGGCCCACTCACCACCACGCGGATGTGCTTGGCCAAGTCCTTGGAGCTGCCCATCAGGAAGTCGGAGAAGGCTGTCTGTGGGAGACAGAGGGCGTCACCATCTGGTGACAGGTAATTGCCTTCACCGCTGCCACGCAGGGGTCCTGCGGCCTGGGAGACACAGGTAGGCAGGGGGCACAGGCGGTAGAAGAGGTGGGCATGGGAGTGGTGGGGCGCAGCTGGCAGACCCCAGACTCACCCCGGCGTAGAACATCTTATTCCGAAAGCGGCTGTTGAATTTCTCTGGGTTGGCCTCTGGGTGGTGACAAGAAATAGGGGACAGTCAGTTGTTCTGAGCCTGCTGGGGCTTCCCAGGCTGGGGTCAAGAGGGAGGGTTGAGAATGAATGCCTTTTACTGGGAAGGGCAAGATCTGGTCCTCTCGGGGACCCCCTCCTGTATCCCTCCCTCCCCAGCCTCCCCAGGCCTCCTCAGCAAAAGTCTGCCAACCTCGAGACTCGTGAAACTCCAGGGTGACGTGGGCATCAAAGCCCAGGCTGAAGTAGTTGTTGAAGACATCCAGCGGCAGCTGGAGAAAGGCCAGGGACGGGCATGAGGGCTGGCCGGCTCAGCCCCCGCGTTTTCAGGCCTTTCCCACACAGTCACGTCCACCAGACAGCTCTGCCCCCAGCCCCCCCGGCCTCGGCCCTGCCGTCTGAGCTCCCAGGCTAAGTGCCCCGCGCACAAGGGCGCCCCGTGCCCTGCTGGCCCTCTCTTCCCATAGCCCTCCCCCTTGACGGGCCGTGTTCGCAGGAGCCCCACGAGAGCCGGGACTCGGTTTTGCTCACTGCTGAGAACAGACGGTGCCCGGCAGTAGCAGGTTCTCAGTAAATATGTGCTGAGTGGCTGAGTGACAGCTACCTCTTGAGGTGAGTACCGTTACTCCCTCTTCCTGTGAAGAGGCCGAGGGCTGGAGACACCAAGAGTCACCCCGGGTCCCAGGATCCCAGACACCCCCGGCCCTGCCCCGGCCGACCCACCCGGTCGGTGGCCCCCTCATCTCGCTCCTCAGGCCCCGCCTCGGGGTTGGGCTCAGCATGGAGGTCCCAGCGGTCCAGCTGCACCACGTTGCCCTCCTCTACGTGGGAGAGGATCTTGGACACGGGCTCATCGGTGTAGCCCTGGGGGGAGGAAGGAACTGAGCCCCTCCGGGGTCTGGGCCTTCCCTGCTGCCCCGCCCTCCCCAGCTCCCTGCCCTGTGGGCGCTCACCCCACCCCAGTTGAGGGTGCGGGCCAAGTCGTTGCCGGTGCCCAGGGGCAGGATGGCGACAGGTGGCGGTGGTTTTAAGCGCAGCTGGTCCAGGGTGGAGAGGATCCAGCCAACCTGCCGCGGGCAGAGCACGAGACGCCAGGTCAGAGTGCGAGGCCAGGGCCGGGCCGGGCCGGGAGGGGCAGGGGTGCTCACCGTGCCATCGCCCCCACAGGCCAGAATCCGCAGGTTGTGCACCCGGCGGTACATCTCCAGCCTGGGGTCAGAAGACAGGAACGGGGTCAGGGTCCGAGTGCTGTACCCCGAGCGCCAGGCGAGCCCCCGCCACCATCCCCACGAGAGCCCTGGCAAGTACTTACGCCTCCTTGGGCCCTCCCTGGCTCAGGTCAAAGACTTGCCGGGGATTGAGATACCAGAGGAAGGACTGGATGATCTTGGCGCCCTGTGGGAGACCAGGAGCCGACAGGGACGGGGCGGCGGGGGGCGGGGGGGAGGCAGTCAGGGGTGGCGGGCTGAGGTGGAGAGATGCGTGGGGAGAAGGGTGGGAACTGTGGGAACAAGGCCTAGGCAGGGGCGAAGGGTGGAGACAGAATTGGATTTTCTCAGCGTCCCTGGGAAAGAGGAATGGGGCAGAAGCTGCAACAGAACCTGGGAACAGCTGCTGCGGGGAGGGGCATGAGCTTGACCCCATCCCTCCCCCAAGGCGCTCGGTGGAGAGGGCAGGCTGTGGGTACCTGGTTGCCCCCACTCTTGGGGTTCACGAACACCAGCAGGGGCTTCATGAGGGGGGACGGGGTGGGCCTGATGATGAAGGGTCTCCAGCGGCCCTCCTTGGAGACACAGAGAGCCCATAAGGCTCTTTCCTGTCTTGGCAGACCCCGCCCCCGTTCCCTTGTGATCACACCGGGTCACACCTCACAGTGGGCCTGGCCATAGAGAGGCACCTCGGATCTGACCTCTCACCCTCCTCAGGGCCGCAGAGCCCAAACTGACCCACTGGTGGCCGAGCTGGCAGCATCAGCCCAGGGGGCTCAGCATCCCCCAAAACAGGCCCCTCTCTCCTGTTCCCCTCCAGCTGCCCACCTGGTCCCAGGTCTAACCTCAGGCCCTTTCTTGCTAGATTTCCTCTTGAAGGATGCCCTCTTTTTCTTCTTGCTTGCCTTGAGGGTATTCTGCAAGGGAAGCAAGGATGTTGGTGACAAGGTGGGTGGGCCCAGGTGGCTGGCAGACCCTAGGTGTCTGCGGGGGTCAAGGGTGCGGGCAGGACTCACCTGGGGCCTGCGGGCACGGAGGATCCAGGTGGGTGGGATGACCACGGCGGCGTGGACCCCCAGGGAGCACGGCTCCTCGATCTGCTGCAGCATGAAGCAGGACACCTTGCTGTGGTACTAGAGGGGGTTGGTTGGCGTGGCTGAGCCGGACCCAGCTGAGACCCGGGACCCCCAACCCAGCGCAGCCCGGGGGCCAGCCTGCAGGTAGGGCGAGTAGCACTCACTGCTTGCTTGCACCAGGAGCAGCTGATGGCCACGATCTCCTTGCTGTGGAAGGTGAACTTCTGCTGGAAGCCCTAGGGCGTACAGGGTGATGAGGGCAGCCAGGACCTGGCCTGGAGCAGCAGACCCAGCCCCCTTCCGGTGCCAACCTTTCTCCACCCAGGGCAATGGAGCACGTTTTTTAAAAATAAAAGAACTGTAAAATGAGTCCCTAGGGTAGGGAGGGAGGCTGAGCCAGGTGCCCACAACTCTCTTTAGTTAATTGCGTGATCTGCTGCAAAGGGGTCCACAGCTAACTCCTGCCTGATTCCAATCCCTCCTTCCTGACCCAGGCCCGCCAGGCCCGCCAGTGCACTCTGAAAGTTCTTTATGGTACCGATCACATTCATTCCTGCTCATTCCACACACGTTCCTCGCGGGCCTGCTGTGTGCCCCACACTGCTGGATACTGAGTGGACGGAGGAAAGAGGGACCTCTCAGAGCCTGAACTTACTGAGGGAGCAGACAAGAAGCAGACAATAAATAAGTCAACGAAACCACAACCACTGTGGACTGTGCTCAGGAAGCCCCCTGCAGCCTGTCTGGGAGCCACATCCTCCTCTAGGAGGACAGGGACCCGCTACCCAGCTCGGTGCTTGCCACTCAGCAGGCCCTAAACATGCATCTGCTGAGTTAATGAGTGAAGAAGTCTATATGCTTCTCAAAGGGCTCACTTGCGACTTCAGAGCAGTCCAGAGACGCTGCTCTAGAAGGCTTTCCTCCCTGCCCTCCTGCTCTGCCCAGGGACCTGGCTGCTCTGGAACTGGCTGGGCACTGCAGCCAGGCTGAGGGTGAGCCCTGACCACGGTCAGTGATGGACGGGCCACACGAGGCTCAGGGGCCGTAGGGCCTGGGGCCAGTGGGCAGCAGGCTGGCCAACTTCCTTGGGCAGGGCCTCACCTTCCCACAGTGCCGACACTTGCCATCCTGGCGTCGCCTGTGTACCCAGTGGTGCCGCACAAAGGTTGGCTGGCGGAGGAGAGAAGCGTCACCGGAGTAAGTGAGGGGTGGAAGCTTTGAACGTGGCCTGTGCCCCTCAATATATCAACAGTGAGGGGCAGGGGCTGCAGGATGCTCTCTGCAGTCCTGTGTGTGAGAAGGGGCTGAAGACTTCTCCCCGTGGCCTGGAGGTCGGGGCTCAGAGGAAGTACAGAGAGAACTGGGAGGCACAAGAGGTAGGCAGTGCCCTACCCCATCTGCAGGCAGGGCCAACCGGGCCTTCCCCTTTGAGACCCTCAGAGCCTCAGCCCTGTACCTCCCTGGGCCCCAGAGCCGCCTAGAAGGAGCTGAGCCCCTGGTGACACTCTGAAGACACTGCAGAGAGGCCCACTCAGGAAACCTGGGGCCCTAACTACCCTGGGCACTTACCTCCCGGACGTTCCTGGAGCCTGATTCACGGAAGGATGGCTTACAGCGGAAATTTATCTGTGAAACATGAAATGATCACCAAAACATCAGAACCTCCCTTCGTGGGGTCAGGCATATGGCCACCCCCTTCAGGAGAGTGTCACTCGGAGGTATCCTTGCAAGGTAGGGATAGCCCCCAATCATCCTGGGAGCCCTGAGAACGTGAGACGCCTCTTCTCAGAAGCCCTCCTACATCCCCGCTCCTCTCCACTAGCCAGAAGGAATCTTTCCTTCCTCTGCCCAGTGTTCTGGGATGAGGGAGACAGCAAGCTCTGTATCCGTCTCCCCCACTAAAACAGCACCAAGGCTTACCCCTCCTATACCTTTCCTCACCCTCCAGCACTCCCAACTCAGGCACATGCCGGCAACCCAGTCCTTGCTTGCTGACTGGTCCCTGGAGATTGTTAGCTCATTTGTGAAATCCTGGTTTGATTTTCACCTTAGGGGGTGGTGTGATGGGTCTATAGTGCCCGGGGCTACACTGGTTTCTCTTCTCCTAACTGTCCCTGCTTCAGCCTTAGCAGAATTGTAGGGAAACCTCACACTACGAGTTGGGGGGTCGGGGAAGCAGTCCATGTTAGCCTTGTTCATGCCATTGCTAGCCCTACGGGATTTCTCTTATGCTGGTCTGGGTTTCTGCTGCCTGGGGAGCCCTGATGGGCCATGGCAGCCCTCCCACCCTCTGCCTGGACCCACCCGCCCAGCATTCCTTCCACCTCCCTCCCTGGAAGCACACGGCCCAGACGTGCCCCCAGCTGCAGACACACCGTGGACAGTGGTCCTTGGGGAAAGGTCTTTACAGTGGCAGCGTGGAGGGGACTGAGCCAGGCTTCAGGGCCGCACAGGACTGGCCCTGACACAGCTGAGTTGCACAGCTTCAGCAAGGCATGGCCCCTTCTAAGTGTTAGTTTGGGAACTGATAAAATGGTGTCTCGGTCATCATTCATTACTTCATCTGGTTGAGTAATAGTCTACAAGCCCCACTCTGTGCCAGGCTTGTTCTGGGCAGTGGGGTCACAGTAACAAGTAAAGGGGAGGAGCCAGGATGCAAATGCAGGCATCTCAGCTCCAGGGTCCTTGGCTCTTCACCACTACGCACACTGGGGTACCCCCGGCAGGTGATGTTTGTGTAACATGAAAATGCGTGTACAGATACACACGTGTGTGCACTGGGAGGGCTTTAGCACCCAAAGGGGAGGGGCCGGAGAGCCTGAGCAACCACACTCACCTTCTCTAGCTGTTCAATGCAGGGGGTGTGCACCACAATCTTGCACGCTGCACACTTTCTCCGGGACACTGATTTCTGCTGCAGGAAAGAGAGGGCCCCTGAGGCACCAGGTAACTCCACCCAGGATGCTGCCGCAGGGCAGGCAGAGAACTCCTCGCACCTGCCCCAGCACAGCTGCCCACTGTGTGCACCGGGAAGCCCCAGCCCCGGCATCAGGACACAGCCCCATTCCTCTCACCATCCTCGGGCAGCCCACCGCAGGGGTGCTTAGGTGAGAGCCTTGTTTCCGCCCTCCCTGGAAGGGCAGCAGCCTGTCAGGCCCGCAGGCGTCGGCCTACAGGCTTCTAGACCTGGCTCCACCACCAGGGGGCAGTGTGCCGCACAGAGCTCACTCACCAGCATCTTGGCTACACAGTACTGCTCTCCAACATAGCAGAAGTCCCCGGACACGTTGGTCTCAAACCAGATGTGCTCCCCATACGTCGCTGACTCCTAGACCACAGGGTGAGCACGCTTAGTGCACCCCTGCCCTGCCCGACCAACCCTCCCTCTCCCAATACAAACCTGCTCCAGCTGCCACAATCTACTTTGCTCCATCCTGTTTTCCCCACTGTCCCTTGGCTTTAAGGCTTGGCTCAAACGTGGCCATGCCAGGTCTGCCCTGACCCCATAGGCCCACGGGCTCTTCTCGCAGCTGCCCACAGTACCCTCAACCCGACTGCTCCTGTGGCCCTGAGCCCGGCGGGGACTGGTCCTCATTTGCCCCTTGCAGCTCCCGGCCACTCACGCTCCAGTCCACAGTGCTCCGGATCTGCCGCTCAGGCTCACTGCGCGGGGCCCCGGGAGCTGGAGGAGGGGGTGCCAGGTGCTGGAGGCCTGACTTGGTGATGGCTTTCCTACAGAAAAGGAGATAGCTGAGGCTAGCTGAGCGCTCGGCGACTCTGCTTCCTTCCCCTCACCTAGGATCTCTGCCCTCACCGTGACCTCAACACCGGGTCAAGACAGGGACAGCGGTAGGAAGGGCAGAGGATGCCCTAAGGCAGCCCAAGACTCTGAGAGGATCCCCAAGGAGACTGGGCCCTCCTGAGAGTCCTGCTGGCTTCCGAGCGTGGCTCAGAGCTCTTCCCGAGCCGGGGGCCCTCAAGCCAGCCCCCGGAGGCCACTCGCCCTGCTGGCTGCAGCTATACCTACGCAAGCAGGGCACTCCAGGTCTGGGGTCCGGCTGACTTGCGCCGCAGGGCTACCTGGCGTCTGCGGGACAGCGGGCGCACGCAGGCAGGCATCCTGGGGCCAGCTGCGGTGCCCGAGGCTCTTCGGCCCCCCAGGCTGAGGTGCTGGCCTGAGGGCCGCTGCGGGCTGAGGGGCCGGTAGTAACCATGCAGGCCCCAGAGGGCGCGGTCTTTCACCACGTCAGCGGGCAGCAGGTGGGAGGAGGCCCGGCGCCGGCGCCAGCGGGGAATGGGCAGCACGGGCAGGGCTCCCCGATGCGGGGATGGCCCCGGTCTCTTGGTGCCTGGCTGGGTGGCCGCCAACGACGCAACTGTCACATCCTCCTCCTGGACCCCCTCCTCCTCATCCATGCCCAAGAGCCCGGCCAACAGCAGGGGTGTGTCCAGACGCGGGGCCCCAACAGTGGCAGGCTGCAGGGCGGGCACCTCATCCACGGTGAAGCGGGGGTTGCAGGAGGGGGGCGCGGTGCTGGAGCGCCGGCGGCTGGAGCGCGGGGCCCCCACCCCGCAGCCCAGGAGGCAGCCCTGGAGCTGTGCGCTGGAGCGGCGCCGCTGGACCAGCGAGGAGGAGGCCTGCCCTGCAGGCGAGCGGCGCCGGGCCTTGCCTGTGGGCAGCCCCACGCTGCCGGGCCGCCTCTGCCCCTCTCCAGGGCCTGGCGCCTTCCGCTGGAAGTGTCTCCTAAAGAAGGTCTCCATGGCAGGGGCAGGCGGGTGGCTGTCGGGTGGAGACCGGGGGCATGAGGAGCTGGGCCAGGCCACGGCGCACCCTGTGCCCGGGAGCCCCGTCACAGCCGCTGCCCTTTGAGCAGAGAAGGGACACTTGGGAGGCATTGCGGGGGCTGGGGGGCGTCTGTGGCCTCTGAGCTCCATAAACGGGGTGCCTGGGGGTGCCAGAGGATCCAGCAGGGAGCCTGCATTCATCACTGTTCCCTGTGCGGCCCCAGGAGTGCTGGGTAGGAGGGGCTGCCAGCTCCCCATCTGGGATCCCCTGTCCAGGCACCATGATCCACCAAGCTCTAGCCTAAAGGGCTTCAAGTCCCTTGCCTGAAGCTGATGGAAAAGAAAATAAAAAGGAAGGTGGAAGCCTGGAGCCGACCTAGACAGACTGAGGGGCTGAGGGCAAGGCTTTTCCTCTCCTTAGGCCTTTGTTTTGCCACCAACACAGGGCAGGTTAGGCTTAGGTGTCCCCTCCTGGAACATGGCACAAACCAAGCCATGGTAAGAAAATGAGGCTCTCTGAAGAGAAATTCAGTCCTGATACGACCCCCTGACTTGCAGTCAGGCTGACAGTGGCACTAGAAATGGAAAGGATCTGACGTCTGCCTTGGGGATTGAAGGCCCCGGGGAACTAAGGCCCCCCGAAAGCTGGAGAGGCAGCTGCACAGGGAGAGAAGCCACCAGGGGGACTTTGCGTGGGAAGCCATGAGAGCCGAGAGTGCCTCCGCCTCTGGGGGTGTGTGTGCTCTTGCTCTGAGGGGCCGACAGTAAGAACTCTTCTGGTCTTACCTTTCTGAAGAGGCACAGTACAGACATTCCATGTGTGAAAATGCTGGATGATGTCAGAAAACCCTTCCAGCTCTGCTGCTGAGGAAGCCCATGAACTGCACCTTGACCTGGGGGCCAATGCCCGAAGCCCAAACGCTGAGAATTCCAGACACTAAGCTACCCAGAGCTCCTCCTGCAGGAGCCTTGGCGACCACCCTTGCTCAAGCCATCCTCCCTTGACCTGGTCTGAACACAGGCTCCGCTTCCTCTGCCAGCTCACCTACCCCCTGCCGCCCCTTCCGCACAGGCGGCTGGGAGCACCTGCGCCCTCACCTTCCCCTAACAGTGCGGGAGGGGCAGGAAGCCTGGTATGCTTCAGGGGGGCAACGCCTCCAGAATTCCCAGGGACACCTGTGTCCTGCCATCAAGTACTCTCCTGGGCCCTGGCAGCCACAGGGAGGTCTGAGTCACGGCCATGGGACACCTGCCTGGGGCTGACAGGAGAGATACTTCTGCTAGCTGAGGGCCTCTGAGAGAGGGTGGGAGCCCTGGACAAAAGGTGGAAGATGATGTGTCTGAGGAATCGGGGCTGGGCTGCATGTCCAGCGCCTACTCCTCCCATCCAACACCCCGCAGCCCAGGAGGCAGCCCTGGAGCTGTGCGCTGGAGCGGTACCCCCACCCTTGATTGCTACTGCCCTGTGGGTCCGGGCAGGCAGTGTCAGGCGGGGCCCTGGATGGCTGTGGAGGTACTGACACGGAGGCACCCATGCCTGGGGAAGCAGTGCTCGGGTCTGCCCAGCTCCGGGTCTCTGCCTCTTAACAGTCTGCCAGCCTCTGCAGGTGACAGGGAGAAAGGCAGGAGAGCTCTTGGCTTCCTCCTAAAGTCAATGCCATCATGGCTTACGTTTACTGAGCGCCCACCTGTAACAGGCACGGTTCTAAGCCCTCTGCAAACATGTGTACCATTTTATAAACCACAGCACCCTAGGGACTTCCCTGGTGGCGCAGTGGTTAAGAATCCACCTGCCTATGCAGGGGACACGGGTTTGAGCCCTGGTCTGGGAGGATCCAACATGCCGCGGAGCAACTAGGCCCATGAACCACAAGTACTGAGCCTGCGCACCTGGAGCCTGTGCTCCGCAACAAGAGAGGCCGCCACAGTGAGAGGCCCGCGCACCGCGATGAAGAGTGGCCCCTGCTTGCTGGAACTAGAGGAAGCCCTCGCACAGAAACGAAGACCCAACACAGCCAAAAAAAAAGAAAAACAAAAAACCGCCTGCCAATGCAGGGGACACGGGGTCGAGCCCCGGTCTGGGAAGATCCCACATGCCGCGGAGCAACTAAGCCCGTGCGCCACAGCTACTGAGCCTGAGCTCTGTAGCCCGCAAGCCACAACTACTGAAGCCCACGTGCCTAGAGCCCGTGCTCCACAACAAGAGAAGCCACTGCAATGAGAAGCCCGCACACCGCAGTGAAGAGCAGCCCCTGCTCGCTGCAACTAGAGAAAGCCGGGCAACGAAGACCCGACGCAGCCAAAAATAAATAAATAAATAAAATTTAAATAAATAAACACAGCACCCTAAAGAATAGATACTGTATCATGCCCCGTTCCTCATGGGAGACTGCGGAGGTAACTTGCCCAAAGTGCACAACTAGTCTGTGCGGAGCCACTGCTGGGACCTGCCTCTACCTGAACCCCAAAGCCCGCGCCCCAGAGACATGGCAGAGAGCAGGGTCTTCCCTGCTGGGCCACGAGCTGGGACTAAGGTGGGATGCGGGGGAGGGAAGGGAGCCATAACAAGGACAGTAGCGGTCCCATTTACCCATCACCTACTATGCGACGGGCCCTGGGCTAAGTGCGTTCGTTTATCATCTCGTTTGATCCTCACTACCACCACCTCCTGAGGCAGGATCGATAGCTCCATTACAGAGATGAGGAAACAGGCTTGATGAGGTGCAGTAACGTGCTCCAAGATCACTCGGCTGGTCAGCGGCAGGACTGGGACCTGAACCCAGGGCTGCCTGACGCAGGGTCTGCTCTGCACCCAGGAAGAGGAGCCTAAAGGCCCAGCTGCCCACTGCCCCAGGGCACTGGCTTGCCAGCACTGCCCCAGGGTGTCAGCTTTCCCTGCCCACCTGGTCAGGCCGCCCTGTGACAGCTGCCCAGCCCGGAGGAGATTAGTCAGCCGAACACACCGCCTGATGCGAGTGTCACCCAGAAAACAAAAGGCCACAGTCACTGGCGGGGGTGGGGTGGGGTGCGGCAGCTGCTCTCTGGGTGGCAGTGAGGGCTGGACCCTGCCTACTGCCCCAGACCCACGACAAGAGGCGCCGGCAGGACGAAGTCGCCCGCACATCCGCCTCATGACACGGGGGCGACTTACAGGTGCTCCCCTACCGCGTTCGAGCCCACACACTGCCCCGGGGTCTCCTCAGGGGCCTGAAGGTGCAGTCACTGCGAGCGGGGTGGGGCAGGCTAGGCCAGCCTGGCCTTGTGTGGCCACGTGCAAAGCCCCTCCCTCACGGGCCTCAGTCTCCTTGTTGGTCCAAGGAGGCAGTCAGCTGGCTGACCTGACACCTTATGACAAACTCTCCTCTAAGGCACCCACTCCTCTACGCTCCCCCCAGGCCCCATGCTTCCTGTTCCTCCTGTCTCCATAGAAACCTCTGTCCTCTGGTCAGCAGTGGCCTGACTCCTGACTTCCTATCTCTGCTGAGGCTTTTGCTGGGTCTGCTCAGAAGCCCAGCCTGGTCTCAGGCCTGTCCCAGCCTTTCCTCTGCTTGGGCGTGGAGCTTCTCCCCACAGCACAGCTCCGAGTGGCAGCTTCTTGTCACCTCACGCTCTGTCACCTTCCACGTACCACATGGTACGTGTAAAGGTCACCGGAGGACGCCCCACAGGGCTCTAACACCAACAGCAGAGCACGAATGGCTGCCCCTCAGCCTCCCAGTGGGGGACCTGGGGTAATCCTGTCACACCCGAAGGGGACAGAGTGGGAAAGGACTCACGGGCCCCGTCAACTGGCTGCTGGGAGCCTGGGGAGGACAAAGGATGCTACAGGGAGACACGCACAGTGGTGGCTGGCCATGCACCCCGGTGAACAGCACCGAGTGGGGCTGCAGGTGGCCAAGCTAAGGCAGCTGCCGGGGATGAGCGGACACGAGTGCCTCAGCTTCATCGGCGACTGGCTAGGAAGCACAGGACTCTTGGCCTCCCAGCCAGACTGTCTCACACTCTATGTTAGCTTCAAGTGGAAAAGCCCATGAGCCTTGGCATCCCATATCTGCCATTGCTTTCCTGGGCTGACCAACTAACCTTTCCGAGTCTCAATTTTCTTATCTGAAAAATGGGGATGAAATGACCTAGTTTAGGAGGTTTGACATAAGGGAGGTTCGGATGAGATAACAGTAGAAAGTACCTGACGGCGCCTGGCAGAGAGGAGGGGCAGGGCAGGGCCTACGCCTATAGCAGACACCAGGGCGTGTGGATAGTGTCACCTCCTGGGGTCTGTCTCTGCCCACGGTGGGGGTGGGAACCGGAAGGGGAAGCTGGAGCTCCCAGGATGGCCACCCCCACCCCCTGAGGAACAGAGCCTGGCAGCCAGAGCCGCCTGGGTGTCTGCTCCTGCTGTGATGAACGCCCTCTGCCCCTGGCACCAGGCCTGGCCCCCGGGGACCCCTCTGCTACCAGAGGTGCTCACACAGGCCGCCCTGTGGGATTCAGTCAGAGTGCCCGTTCCACGCTGTGGACGGGCCCCTCACGCCCCTCTTCCCGGTGCAGGCTGGGAATGGTGCCATGTGGCCCCATTTCCAGCAGCCCCAGAGCCGGGGCCTGGAGCTGCTTCCCCAGGGTCTTGCTGCTCAGAAGCCACCTCTGGCTGCTTTGCTCCCACAGCCCTGAGGCTGAGGTTGGAGGGGAGGAGACGGGGAATGCTGGAAAGGGGGCCTGCCTGGGGCTGGTGAGGCAGGGTTCCTAGGTCTCTGTTCACTAAAAGGATCCTGCCCAAAAAAAAAAAAAAAAAAAAAAAAAAGGATCCTGCCCAAACCAAACCAAACCAAACCAGAATGCACAGTGGGGAGAGGTGGGCCAGGGCTGCATGGCAAAGGAGGCGACCAGGCCAGTCATGTTTACCTCAACAGGGTCCTGCCCTGGCTCGGGGACAGGAGCTCAGACAGGAGCTCGGTCGGCCTAGGCTTTGCCGGTCCCTTTCCATCAGCTTCAGGAGCCTCGACTGGGGATGGTGGTGCCCGGGCCAGCCCTGATCCACCCCTCCCCAGGCCCACCCAGACAGATCCAGGAGGGAGGAAGCAGAAGGCAAGGAAGGGTTGAGGCAAGCCCCTTTGACCTGATCTGGAAGGCAGGGCGGCAGGCAGGAGGTGGGCCAGCGGGCGGGGGCTGGGGTCCTGGGGGGGGGGGTGCAGGCGAGCCCCGGCTCCCGCTCCAGCTCCGGGCCGGCCTCCGGCTGAGCAAGTCCTAGTTTGGGGAGTGAGCTGCTGTGGCTGCTCCCCTGCCCCTCCCCCTCGCCACCCTCCTCCCCCACGCCTGAGACAGCCGTTATGAAAATAACCCGATCGGTAAGTGACTGCACTTCCTCTCCCAGCAGTGCAAGCAGGAGGCAGTGGGCGGGCACACACTCGTGCACGAGCCTCGCCTCCTGGCTTCTCTTCCCAAAGTCCCCAGAGGCCGGCTGAGCAACAGCTCAGTAGCCTCCCCTCCACACGGCCCCCGGTACAGCTCAGCCCCTGCCTCAGCTCCGGGAGGGTTGGGGGGAGAAGAGGCGGGTCACCCTACACCCTCTCGCACCCACTGGACAGGTATTCCGGGATCTGAGGAAAGCAGCTGAGACAGCTAAGCACCGGCTTCAGACAAAATAACTGCAAAAATAAGCATCTGTGGCGTGTTTCACAACTTACTGAGCACTTTTCCACAAGTACTGCCGGACAGGAGGCTTGTAACTCCCCTGTGCAAGGGGCATTTTGCTCCCAGCTGAACCCCCAGGGCAGCTGAGGCTCACGGAGGCCCGTGACTGCCCACAGCTCACAAGTGGCTGAGCGGAGCCTCCTGATCCTGGGTTTCCCAGCCCTGCCAAGGGGGCCTGTCAGATCCAGAAGCAAGCCAGCCCATGTCACACCCATCCTGCCTAGAACGCCACCCCTCCGTTAACACTCCTAGCCCCTAGGATCTGGAGTGGCAGCTCTCAAACATCCTGGTCCCAGGACCCCCTTACACTCTTAAAAATTATTGAAGCTCCCCAAACGGTTTTGTTTATGGGGGTTATAGCTATTAACACTGACCATATTAGAAACTAAAGCTGAGAAATATTTAAAATACTATTTATTCATTTGTTGAAAAACAATAAACCCAGTAACTGTTAATATAAATAACATACTTTTATGAAAAATAAACTATCTTCTAAAACAGAAAAGTAGTGAGAAGGGTGGCATGTTTTAATTTTTGCAAATTTCTCATGTCTCGCTTTATAGAAGACAGCTAGATTTTAATACCTGCCTCTGCAGTCAATCTGTTGTGATCTGTTGTTTCGGTTGAAGTACATGAAGAAAATTCTGCGTCCCATGGCAGTTAGAGAAGGAAGGAGCATTTTAATAGCCTTTTCACGCAATTACGGGTATTCTTCTCTGCTACTACACCCAAATATGACAAGTGGTAGTTTCTTAAAGGTTAGTGGCCACGTGGAATCTGAACTTTTCACTGGTCTGTCTTGCATTCTGAATTTTGAAACATCAAGCATAGGTCATTGGAAAATATTGGTTTACTGAGTTAGGCAGATCTCCACACACTGGAACAAAGTTTCCAAAATTGTAATTTTCACTCAAATTTTATCAGTAGCAACACATTTTATCAATAGCAACAAATACTGATACTGTTTTTGAAGTGACAAGCTCACTTCATTCATTTTTGAGAAAACGTCTGCTAAATATCCAAATCTGAAGAGTTCTGTCTGTCGTCAGGTGTTCTTTCAAGTTTAAATGGTGTTCCTTAAAAAAAAGAAAAAAGTGACAAGTAGGGCTCGCAACTCAGTCACAAAAGTGCTTTTTCAAGACAGCCATCACAGTTC